TTTTTTTTTAAAAAAAAAAAGGCTAAAGAAAAAGTAAAAAGAAACAATACAAAAGAAAGGCGCAATGTAGAAGATGGAGTACCATTCTTGTTTCGTTCCACTGGTCTCTTTTCGACGCCTTATGTGGTCTTTCTATTAAGCAATAGGAAGCTGCCGCAACAATTGTCTTAGGAGCTTCATCCCCGTTGCAGCTTTTTGCTAGCAAGAAAAAAAAATATTAAATAAATAAATAAAAATAGAATAAATAAAAAAAGGCCAAAGAGGGGGCAAAATGATTCAAGGCAAGGGTAACTTGCAGACCCCAATAGATTATTGTTCTACTCTATTCAGTAATGCTATCACTATTGAAATTTTTTTTGCCACTACCGACGGCCCTCAACACAACACACTCTATACTTTGTTGTATAGGGTCACAGTGGCGATCAGAAAAGATGATCAACTCCGATCTTGTCTATTCAGCTCCTACCCTCCACAGCTGAGAGGGGTGAAAATGGATATGTCTTCTATGATCCTCGCCTTCCTCTCGTTATTGAGACTTACGCGCCCACTGAAAATCATCACCTGGACAACAACAACACACACGCATGCATCCACTGGGTTGTGGCAATCCAGCGGATTTCACTTGCACTGCTAATCTTTGCCGCTTGTAAGCCTATACGATGCGACGCCTGTTTTTGCCATCATCCCATACTTGATCGACGACCCGATACGATTGGGCAGTCGTGCACAAGTCAGCAGCATGGTCGGCGACTTGATCGAAAAGAGGGGGAGGGTCCTGTAGTCTTCGCGATGAAATGCTAGTTAACAGGTCCCGCACGTAAGCACTATATATAGTCGGTCAGCGGATGTCGTGCGAGTCACACGTCCCTTATGACTGGATGAGTGAAGATGTTGTCTTATATTTACGCCGTGGTACGGAAGCCCTTCGCAGGGACAAGGGTCAAATTTCAAAAGCGAGTAAGAAAACGCAAGCATCCGAGTAAAGTTAGACTACTTGCCATACAAAAGCGCCGTCAGCCTTAAGCCTTAACAGGCTGCAGGCTAAGTCCCGTGCACAGGCCTGCTGACATGGTAGTAATCGAGGCGCTAGTTAGCCAGTAACTATTGACTACTCAGGCATGGCTAGCTGAACTGACCTCAGCTAGTAGTCGTCCTTCGTACCCAATCGATTTTAAATTGCACAGTGCTCACTCTGCATGATGCATGAGGGTTGAGGAGGTCAAGCTTAATCTACTTTGATTCCAACTGTTCTCTTCGGTCTTGCATTTGATTGATCGAACCTGGACCAGGCGTCATGTGCATCTCAGGGGGGCAAGTGAGTGTCGAGTCAGGGTTTAGTTCTCGTAACCCCCGTACACGGCTCAGAGTGAGACAGAAAACGCAATCGACATACGCACATCCAAAACTTAAGAAGCCAAAATTTATAATCCAGACAGTCTTAGTACGGGGACTCAGCCTGCGTAGAAGCATATTTGTCGTCTGTGGAATGAAAGCCGCACAGACTCCTTCATCACATGTGGCCAATCGATCGACGTGAACTTTTACCACAGCGGACATGGTTTGAAACAGTGCAAATCTGAAACTATCTGAGGATTTGGGACCTTGGCGTCTACTCGACACCAATCATTATTGGGAAGGGGCTTGAGGTTATCCGACTCCGTCCCGCACTTACGAATGAGGGTAATCCTTGGTGCAGAAATGCGGAGGTTTGATTGTATCCAGCCCTTCCAAGACCTTCAACTTACGACTAGCAGCACAGACGGACATGCATACATCCAAGAATCCGATTTCAGAGTTTTTGGTTCCACCTCAGCGCTACTGAGTACATCCCTGAACCTATAGGGTAGAAGTTGCGTAGATAGTCAACCAGGGTGGGCTCGAGAGGTTTGTCGCATGGTTAGTCATAGGAAGTATGGTGTCACTGTCCACGGGATATCGCGAACGTCCAGTTGGGACAAGCAATAGTCGACCCATCTCATCAAATCCATTCATTCATTCAGATTCAGGGTACAAGGCTAGTAATGCGGGGCCCCCAACCTTATTGCCTCAGGCCCCAACAGCAGCCTGCCCTTGCCCTTGCCCTACACCCTAGCTGCCGTCCCGTGCCGTCTCTCGTAGGCCCTTCCTCTCATCAGCCAATGATGTCCGCCATCAAATCCTTGGCTTGATACTAGTATCTGAACCTGGGCTAGGAGGATCATTGTCAACGCTTTACATTCCACTATCACCGACATACCTCCTCCGTTTCATATCTGACCTAATACCATATCATTATACTTGTGTGCATTAGTGTTACGCAAAGCGGTATTCACAATGGCTATGAATCGTATTCCCGGTCAGAATATTTATATTGGAGGGTTGGTCTTACCTTCTCCCTCGAATACCCGTATCAAACCTTCATTGCGTTGGGCTAGAATCCTAACAACGCGGGGCAACAAATATACTCTTGAAAGCCCGAGTCAAGAAATTGAAGAGAAAAATATTCTTACATCGAACCACTTGCTGATATACAGATTTGACGTGTAGTATTTTCTCCCTTAAAAACAAGGCAGCATTGGAAAGAGCAAACATTACCCACGTACTTTCGGTATTACGCCTGCAACCACAAGAAGAGACCTTTGCAGGCTTCCAACATCATCGCATCGATGTGGACGATGTCGAGGATGAGAACCTCCTAGAACATTTCCCGTCCGCCATTAAGTTCATCCAGTCTGGATTGGATGCTGGTGGGGGCGTCCTGGTCCATTGGTTAGTCTACCCCTCTTCCCTCATTTCTACTCATGCCGACAAACCCGCATTGTCCCCATATACTTGGGTGGCCTGGCTGGCTGGGAAAAACTCTATGATTCTGGGCCCAAGCGTTTTCCCTCTTCTGCCCTTCCATCTCAGTGTATAGTCAAAACGAAGCTCTGACAGATGTCACGTGCTCATATCACGAGCATGGGTCTCACCTCCATATTGAGATGTTTCAATTGACCCCAGCGGAATTCTTAGACGAGAGGCACGATGGGTTATGTTACTGATAGTAAATAGTGCGATGGGAAAATCCCGCTCAGCCACCATATGTATCGCTTATCTGCTCCACCAACAGCCAAGCTCACTGACGCCGCAGTCCGCTCTTGCTATTATTAAGGAAAGTCGGCCACTTTGCGAACCAAATGATGGGTTCATGAAACAGCTGTCGATCTACCACGAAATGGGCTGTCCAGACGATTTGACCAGCCATCCGCTGTATAGCCGTTGGCTTTACCGCCGCGAAGTTGAGGAAAGTGTCGCATGTGGGCGCGCGCCGGAGATGAATTCCGTGTTATTTGAAGACGAACAACCTCACAAACCCCAAGACAATACGGATCAACCAACGGAAATTAAATGTCGGAAATGCAGGTCAGTTTCCTAATTATAAGATAAATCTCTCCAGATGAACATCCCAATGTTGACTGTATCCGGTAGGCGAAACTTGGCGACCACGCCATTCATCATACCACATGGCCCGCAAAACGGTGCAAAGGGACCAACCGATTGCGCCCACATTTTCTTACATCCCTTGACGTGGATGCGCCCGTGCCTTTTCCCTAACGGTGATGAAGATGGAGCACCGTCTGGGGATGCGCCCCTGTCTGGTCGCTTGACCTGCCCGAACACTTCGTGTGGTTCCAATATCGGGAAGTTTGCATGGCAGGGTATGCAATGTAGCTGCGGCGACTGGGTAGTTCCTGCAATCGGCCTTGCGAAGGCTCGAATCGATATGTCCCAACGTGTCAATGTGGGAAGGTTACCTCCAGCTGCCCTAGGCATCCGACTGCCGCCTAGTATGAGGCGTAGCCCTGCGGAGGATTCCACAAATGGACGGGGCAATCTCTAAGTTTACTACGGCGACTGCGCCTCGGGGGATACTGACACGGTGGATACTTCGCGGATAATTACCACTGCCGCTTGAATACACATAATTCTATCTCTGACAGCCAGCGTTAGAATGGCCGCCAGCAAGTCCCACATCACGTGATGCGCACGGCCCGGTTTACAGATCACCGTGAAGACTCGATACTGTGCGCCTTCGTCTACTTGGCCATATCCAACTATTTGCCCAAAGCGGTGTAGAGAAAAGGGCACTTCGAAGACACCTTTGGGTTAAATAGAGTTGGGCCTTGCGTGGACGCGTTGCCAGAATACGGATCTTCATGGATCCACCGCACCGACGGGGAGATGACGGATGAAGAAAAGCATACATGAACAGGTTCTTAGCTACCTTAGCTACCACAAGACTTGGGTCTAGGTACGCAGAGTCGAGTCTTGGTGTGACCCATCTCTGCTTCTAGAGGACCCTAATGTCGATCATCCCGCAATGGCGTTGATCTACCAAGCTAGCAGCGACGAAATTACTTTCCGTGATGACAGAAACCGTACACTTGACAGCTCATAGACAATCATATCCTATAACTGCTGATACAGTTGATATTATGACATTACTGCTGGGAAAGCGTTGCTTGACTGTTCTGAGCAAGATACCAGCAGTTTGAATGCCTTGCGATGTCCAAGCGCTAGAACCTGTCAGGATTCAGGGCTTAACCCCACAGCTCCACGAGGCTGTTTTTAAGGCAAGGCCCACTGGCTGGGAAACCCGCCAATGGCCGGGTAGAACAAGTCCCGGGATCTGCGGCATGGGAAGATCGGGGAGGACAAACTCAAACTTCCCAGTGGACAGGCATGCACAAGTTCCTGAGAAGGAGCATTAGTAATCGGTGCAGGCGTATCGAGAGTCCGTGACCCGGTTCCAGGAGGAGACCAGGCCCCAGCAGGGTAGGCCTAGCCTACTCACTAGCTCCGGCACGGGGGCTGTGCAAACTGCTCTTACGCAACTGGGGGGCGCGAGACCCATGGATGCAACTCCTGTCGTAACGCCCTTGGTATTATGACCGTTACCCCAGTACCGCCGTCGTAATTTTAATTCCGGCGAACCCCTGACCCACCGTATTTCCATTACCGCCAGACCGCTTCATACTTATACTCCATAGTGGCAACAGCAATCGCAATTATGATGATCACTCGCTCCGAAAGAGTGGATTTGGATTCCCTGGGACCATCTTAAAAGATCAATATTATCAGCGAGATACTGGTCTTGGCGGTTCGACTTCATCCTTTCCTCCATTCCTCGGTGATCGAGACTTTCACTCCCATATCCAAGAAAGGGCGAGAAGGAGTTCTTCGAAATGCTTCTGAGCCATATCCTATCCATGGATTAATGTCGGATAAAAGCGACAAACCTCCTTCCAGAAGCGACCCTGTATCGAAAATGACGTCACTTGCCCACGACACTCGAACTTCTCATCCAGTCAATGCAGCCGTCGACCTCATCAATCGGATGTTCAACGAAACCCGACTCTAAGCCCTAAGCGCACCGGAATCTCGTACTGCGCAGTAGAACCACTTTAAGACCAGTACAATATTCCACTCTCATAGGCCATGTATAAATTCAGCCACGATCAAAACATTGTATCCACACCAGTTTCCGCTTCAAAATACCCCATACAACCAAAACACAACCCCCTTAGATACTTCCCCCCGCCTAACCGAAGGGCCTAACGACAGGCAGCACAAGGTGCACTGCCTCCTCCTTCCCCACTGCAATGCATACAGTATACCTCCTTATTCCCCACTGAAGACCGAAAGTAAAGTCATGAATTAGAAACAAGTAAATGAAACCGTCCGCTCCCTGACATCATGGCGCTATTATGCGTGAGCTCTGATTGCACAAACCGAGCGAGTCCCGACGGCCGGATCGAAATAGGAATATGTACAGTATGCATGTGCTCCGTTGGAAATCTAGTGACCTGCCTAGCCTAGGCAGAATATGCAAGATGCATCGGGTGGTCTGTGTTTGTGCATGACATGTGGGCTATGTTATGTATATAATGCTCCTTGCTTGGTATATCTTTATTATTTCTTCGTCAGGTTGGGTTTTACGTATTGAGTAGAGCGTTTCTATACATTTGTATGTATGTTAAAGATGTATATACGATGCGTGATTTAAGTTGGCCCCATATAGCACGTAGTAAGTATTACCTGCTGTCATATTGACATCGTCCGACAAGTTGCAAGCTATTGTAGCCCATCGCCGAACCGGATATACGGAATTGCACATCCATAAGTTCGAGCATAAGACCACGAACTGTTGCCTATAAGGCTGAGGTGGCTGGTTTAGAAGCTTCCGCGTCGTGCCTAGTGCTGAGCTCTCGTGTTTGTTTCCGCTCAGGGTGCCTTGCCTCTCTTCCGATGTTGACTGAGCCCGGGGTGAACCAGGCAGACTGCGACATTGGATGTTGCTGACGGTGTCATGCGGTGAGTATTGGCTGATTGGGCGATCAGACCATGGGTTTGATTAAGACGAATTCTGAGCTGATCTGTAGCGCAGTTGTATTGTCTAACGCAATTCCAGTAGAAGACTGAGTTCAAGTACGCTTTGCCTCAAAAAATGAGGATGGACAGCGAGTAACCGTGGCTGCGCGAGCTTATCGTTTACTTTATCCTCGCAGCGATGCTCCGATATGATCGTCGTACTGCCGCGCTTAAAGATATGACGTCGAGACACTCGTCGAAACGAGCCGACGAATAGGCACTTCACCTCGCTATTAACATCCTGCTATTAACATCCTAATCAGTCCTGACGAGGCAAGCAACCCCCCATAAATTGACCTCATCAGAGCCCTCCGGACGGGACAGACGGGAAAAACGAGGGATCCTGCAGGCGCTGGCGATTTCTCTTGGCAGCCTCGAGATTACGCAGTCTGTCGATGCGCATCTGGTAGAAATTTCTGCGAGCCAATGCGGTCAGATCATGCTGAGCTGGCAAAGCGAGTCAGGATCCTGAATCGGGTTAGGACATACTTATGCAATGCGAAAATACGAGGCCCGTCATCCGACGTGGACGTGGACGTGGATTGTGCTGACTTCTTGAGGGATTCGATCTTCCGTGTGTCAGCTTTAGCCTTTTGTTTGTCGTTTCTGATTCACGTTCAAGGCTTAAGCGCCTAGGAGGGGAAGCTGGCTGAGGGAGAATGGGTAGGGGAGGTAGGGTATAGACCTTATCGTCTCGTTCCTTTTCGTCATTGCCCTCCTTTTTGTCGCTGGATGATCCTTCTTCCTTCTTTGGCTCTTCGTCGGATTTCTTTTCTTTCGCCTTGTCTTTCTTCTTCTTCTGTCTCTCTTCGTACTCCTTCTTTACTTTCTCGATTTCTTTGGCTAATGCCTCTTCTTTCTTCTTCTTTTCCTCGTCCTCTGTGTCCACAATAGGAGAGCAGAAATGCCGATCCTTCAGATGAACAGGACAAACGTAGAAGAAATCCTTCGACTTAGTTACTAATGTCTCTCCATAACCAGTTATACTTCGAAAGAGGTTACAATGTATTTACCTTGTTGTCGGGTGTGATCATCACGCTGCTCGAGGGCTTGTGGCAGACATAGCACGCCTTTGCAGCGGTGTCTGCTACCCGACGGAGATGGTAGATGTTTTGAAAGGGCCCACTCATTTTCAAGAAAAGGTGGATTATTGATCTGGTAGGAATAGAAGCGTATATATGGCAGACAATCGAATATACGCTCTGTACAAATATGTATGGAGGGGTTAAAAGTAGCTTGGGAGATAAGAACTGTTTGGTCTTTATCAGTGCGGAGATATCATATCATGTGACTGGTATATAGATCGATCGTGATCTTGTTTCTAATCATCTTTCTTTTTAGTATTCTGGGCATGCTTGGTATACATAGACAGACATTACTATAATTAGTTGCTATAGCCTTATTTTTGATAGGAGGTATAAACGATATCCCTATGCTTTCGGGAGTTCCAAAGACTCTTAAAGCATACAAACCATACAATATGCAAATATTATTCTATATAGTAACATCTACTCAGTCACGCTATCCTTGAGCCCCCTAAGAGCACTAAGCTCCCTCGACCCAGCAGGAGCCAATGCAGCCGCATTCTGTGACCGTCTCCGGGCATCCGTCCAGAGCATAAATTCACCATAACTCTTCGGCATGACCTGGATGTCCTTCTCAACCAAGAAAGTGTAGTTGAACTGGCCAGTCGACTTCTTGGTGCCATGTTCCACATCCCTGACCTTGGTGTCTACACGGACTTGAACCTTGGTGTACTTGCTGCCTGAGTCTGTTTCGACAGGCTCCGTATAGGCAACCGTGGCGCGAAGGTACAGGACGCTGCCGACGGGAACGGGGTTCTCGAACGTGCTAGGATCAAGGGAGATGAAGTTGGGCCGAGCGTGGGAGAAAGACGCTACACAGCAGAATGCAAGCTCGAAGGTCTGCTTCAAAAGGAAACCACCGAAGATCATGAAGTTGTGACGGTTGCGATCTTGTGGCTGCATGATCATGGCTGATTTCAAGTTGGTGTCGCTCATGAAGACCATATTTGATGGTCTTTGAGCGGGAGATTCGGGACCTGTGTGATATTAGCGATTGTAATCACGATAGAGTCTTGGAGAGCAGCCACGTACTCAGATATGACATCTCCTTGGTCCACATGGAGTGGATGAGGTTACTCTCTTCGTCGTCTGGGGCCTTCTGAAGCAGACTACGTTTTCTCAGTCCTTTCTTGGCTTGATAGTTCTCTTCTCCTTTTTTAAAGAGAAGACGTTCCTCATCAGTTTCTAGCAAGAGGGGTGCGACATTGACGGGCCTAAGGCGCGTTAGTGCGGTACTCTGAGAATTGGCTACTCAAGGAACGTACGTCTTGGTAGCAGGATCAAGAGACACCATTGTGAAGGCGCAAGTGATCAGGACATCCTCAGGCTTCGCCTTCTGCCCTTCAGGAGGGGCCTTTGCGACCTGCAAAGATATCTCCATACTAGAGCGTCCCGTAGCGTAGGTAACCTGACCACTGAGCTCAAGATCGCAGATCTCCATCAGAGGATGTTCGATGGTGATTCGGTCACATGCAGCGGTCACGGTCGTCACCGAGCCTCCGGTGTGCCTGTAAGCAATGATACCAGCCAAAGCATCTAAGTCCATCAGTAGCGACCCCAACCTGGCTACATTAGCGATGACGCCAATTCCAAGGCATATGCTAGATTGGTTACCTGATATGCCCCGAAGCATTCAAATATGTATCAAGGAGCCATTTGTCTTGTGCCAACGGCAGGATCTGTATCACAGATTAGCCCATGACTCAACCAAAGCAAGCCCTTTCACTAACAGCACTATAATGGCTATCCGACATCTTCTTAGGAGTCAGATCGGGCTTCGCGACCGGCGTAGAAGTTCCCTTGCCGGACTTCGCATCCTCTCTGCTCTTTGTCAACGCTTCAATCCACGGTGTCTTGACGCGCATGGGCATCCACGTGGGTCGGAATGCCGCATTGGGCTGACTAGTGTGGAAATCCTTGGATGCAGGACACAATTGCGACGGGCGCTCTGCTACCCTTGTCCGGAGAATGCTATTAGTTGCAGATGTTAAGCATTTCGAGCGGGTCGCGGCGGACTGTCGCGTGGTTAGTCCCAACATTGTGAAAACTTGGTTAGCCCAGAGGACGTTTCGGAGGAAGTGTTAGTTGATGCGAGAGTTTGGGGTAGAAATGGTCACTGTCGGCATCGGGGTCATGTTCCCGAGGCCTCCTGGCCGGTTACCGATCTTTCTTCCGGAGGATATCGGGACCCGTCAAAGACTATTCCCTCGGGAATTTGGACGGCTTCGTCATGTTGGATAGTAATATTCAATGTGTCAGAAGAGCTCATGGCGATGTATAGATTATCGTATGGACTACGAGGGGGATGTTCAATCATTAGTATCCCCAGTAGTAGTGCTGCAGCATCATTTTAGTTCATCTGTTAGATGACATCATCGCCATCATCCTATCTTATCGGCCACTTCATGTACATACGTATGTACTATGTACTCCTTATCATGCTGATGCCAGTGTTGGTGAAGAACAATGTTGATGCTTTTTCCAATTAAACGTACCCAGACTGCTAAGAACCAACAACTTCAACCTACTATTGGCCTGCATCCCTGTCATGTATCCAGAGCTTCACTGACCGGCTCCACCATGTCTTTCGCCCAACAGCTGCGTCAAGGTGAAGTCATAACCCATATAAATATCCAGAGAAATTGAATGCTTGTACCTGTGTGATGGTTGCTTCTATTCTTTACAAAGTAAATATTAGACGAATAGACTAACTGCGCCCCCGCCCCCTGAACAATGAGCGACCCAACTAATCCCAACATCCAGAAGAGAACGACGCCACAATGGGCGCTGTACCAGCGCGAGAACTTCTGGAAGCTCAATGAGGGCCAGACACCTCCTTTCAACACGGGTACGACGTTGTCCTTCACTTGACTAGCAAACCCACCACCTTGGGCTGACCGTGAATCGCGTTGGAATAGATCCCATTAAACTGGAGCAGCTGGCTCATGAGAAGCTTAGTCAAGGTGGTTGGTATGACTCCAACTTCTGTCACTATAGGATGTGTATTGTCTAACACATCCGTAGGTACTATGCATCCTCCAATGCGGGCATGTCCAACACCCACCTGGCGAACCGTCAAGCCTTCTTCCGTCACCGCATCATCCCCCGACAACTAGTAGATACCAACCTGCGAGACACCACCACGGAGATCTTTAGACACCGCGTGTCAGCTCCAATAGGCTTTGCTCCCATTGGAATCAACAAGATCTACCATCAATCAGCAGAAGCCGCAGTCGCCAAAGTTGCAGGCGAGCTCAATCTCCCGTACTGCCTCTCTACAGCAGGAAGCACACCGATTGAGAAAGTCGCAGAGGCAAACGGCAAAGGTCCTCGGTTCTATCAATTGTATATGCCGCATGATGACGAGCTAACACTGTCTCTCCTCAACCGGGCCTGGAAGTCTGGGTTTGATGCGCTTATCCTCACCACTGACACCTGGCAGCTTGGCTGGCGACACGACGATATGGCCAATTCTAATTATGCCTTCTACCGCGGGACTGGTGCCGACTTAGGCTTAACAGACCCTGTATTCCAGAAGCGATGTCGCGAAGAAGGTATCGATCCGGAGAAGGACATCGTCGCGGCCTCGACAAAATGGATTGACTCCGTCTGGCACGGACGTGCATGGTCGTGGGAGAAGATTCCCTGGCTAATTGAGCAATGGAAGAAGATCTCAGGCGGAAGACCTTTTGCCATCAAGGGGATCCAGTCGGTCGCAGACGCAAAGAAGTGCGTTGAGTACGGCGTCGACGGCATCGTGGTGAGCAATCATGCCGGTCGACAGGTGGACGGAGCAATCGCGAGCCTTGATGCACTGGAGAATATCGCCAATAATGTCGGTGACCAAATCTACATCATGTATGATTCTGGAGTTCGCGGCGCGAGTGATGTCGCGAAAGCGCTGGCGCTGGGAGCTCGGTTCGTGTTTGTCGGTCGGCTTTGGATCTGGGGTCTCAGTATCATGGGAGAAGAGGGAGTCCGCCACGTTATGAAGTCGCTGCTGGCCGACTTTGACATTTTCATGTGTGTTGCGGGATTCAACAGTGTGAAGGAGCTTGATCGATCGATTTTAGGTATGTTTTGAGTATGGGCAGCTGTTTCAGTGAGCTAATACTTCTGTAGAATCATATCCAAAAGGATATACCCTTATTCCGGACAAAGCCTTGTGAACTGATGAAGTCGACATATAATGCACTGCAAGAGTATACACGCAGTATATAACCAGGGGCACTGTTTACTAGAGCAAGAGTACTTCATATAAGACCTCTACCTCCATCTTCCTTTTAGTCCCTGCTCCAGTGTCATATAAACCTCTTACTATACTATCTCCACACCCACCCATTTCGAGTGGCCATCACATACACTATTTCCCAGTAAAGGCCAAGTAATCTATCTAAGCTTTTCAGAGGTGGGCCCGTGTAAGGAGATCCGATAACCATAAATCCATAAACCCGGGCCAGGTTCCACATGGTTCAGCCTCGAGACCGTAAGGAGGACAGATCTCGTATAGTAAGAAGCTGATCTGTGCTGGAGACACACTTAATGTGTAACGGTTAGTGTCTGGGGTAGATATAACTGGCTCGATGACCCCTGTTTAGTGCCGACACTAGCCCCCATCATCTCAGGACCGGTACGTCTACTGTGCTAGGATATAGATTTTGCTGCCTGGAATTCAATGGCTATTGCCTTTCTTGTATGTTGAGATTTTCTGGGGTTCAGCGGCAGACGGCTAGGCACGTTTTAATTTTAGTGGTAACCCTGGAGGCCAAGGGCTGTGGTGTTAATTACGGGGATATTGGTACTTTGGACAGTTGAGGTGAGGATGTGTTTCTTTGAATAGATTGTCCGGATGAAAGAATGAGTGTTGTCCGGACTGAACAGTAGCTATTTACCGGGATTGAAAAGTTATACTTCGAATATGCAGTCAGAGACTGAGGACAACGCACATATATGCGAGGCGTGTCCCAAGAGGCAGGCTCATAGAGGTGTCCACCAAAATACAGATAGGAAAATATACAAAAAGTCTTCAGAGCGACCGCAACTCCAACGAGTGATGCCATGTGCTATCGATACTGGATCGAATAGTAGTATTATATATGCAAGAAATTGCAACGAACCTATTGAGAGTCGCGTGATCACACTAGGCGAGCCAGAGTGTGCACAGAACGAGCATCAAGGCAGGCAGATAATGTACGCCAGTCTTCACGCCAGCAGATGTAGCTTCTGTCGCACTTGAGCTTGCGGCAGCAGCAGTAGCGGAATCATCCTTGTCGGTTCCGGTGGAAGTGGCAGTGGTAGTTGTCGTAGATGCCTTTGCGCTGGAGTTCCCACGCATCGCAAACCCGACTCGGTCTTTGTCGAAGTCAAACACCGTATACACGTTCTTGAGGAAGACATCGCCCACGAGCCATTCGTTGTCACCGAACATCTGATGGCCGATGATCGTCGAAACACAGCCCGATCCGTACTTCGAGCCGACATAATCCTTGGGAGAGATTGTGTAGCTCTGGCCCGAAAAAGTGAGTTCAACTTTGGCAGTGGAATTGCAGGGGATAACGAAGTTTTCGTTTCCTGACGCACTGGAGCCCGGAATCAACTTATGCAATGCGGCTGCATCCTTTGGCGGAATCAAAGCGTAGGATGTGCCGGTGTCGATGATGGCCGTCTTGTTGACGAACTTGCAGGCATTGCCATCTACGCTGGCATCGTCCAGGGGAATGGTCCAGCGATTATTACCGCTGAGAGCGTCGGTGTACGAAATGTTCCCGGTAAACTTAGTCTTATCGACGCCACCAAAGGTTACGGCACCATCCTTCCCTCCGTCAGCGGCGCGAGAGAGACTGAAGCTGACAATGTTTGACTTGAGGGCCTTCTGCTCTATGACGGCCTCCATAAACGAGGGACCATACGACCCCTCCTCGGCGCGCCCAAGGCCGATAATACCATCCATGGGATAATTCTGGAACTGCTCCGACGCATTGGAAGCCAGTCCAAACAACATGCGCACATCCATACCAGCAATCGAGAGCGTATCATTTCCGAGAACGCCACTAACTTGCCCAGTTCCATAACCCACGCCCCATTTCTTGTTGGTTAGTATGAGACTTGTCGAAGCGTGTTCACCAAACGTGTTGTGCAGTTTGCAAGAGTCTGTTGTGCAGTCCGACCCGAAGAGCCATGTATTGACACCGCCGGAGTCTAGCATCATCCACATCTTCTGGCCTTGAGAGCCAACTTTGACTGCTGCAAAATAGGTATAGTCACTTCCACCTTGGTTGAGCGCGGCTGTGTTGGGCGACGTCGGCTCATCTGATAACATAATCTTGAAATTGTTGTCACGGCGAAAGGAGGCCCTTTTGATGTCCAGGGTGATAGTATCATCCCCGGTAGATGATTCCGATTCATCCTTCACGTTCTCGGACGGCAACTCATATGGGAAAAAACGACGCTGGAGCTGATCACTGGCGGCATCGGTAACAGGATCACCGAACTCTATATGGTAGGGCACAAATGCCGTGACACTAGTGTAAAGAGATGTTGTAGCGAGAAGGCATTGTAAGAAACGCATGACTTTATGTCAATTCTTCTAACTAAAGAGTAAAGCGAACGGGCGCATTCGAGGGAAGAGACCGACAAGCGGCAGTCAGGTTGAAAGAAGGTTTCTGGGCTAGTATCGATAAAAAAAACGAAAGATAATAATCAAGTCTTATACAATGCAAACTCGGAAAACGCCTTTTTTTATGAGCAATCAATTGAATAAGACCCGACCAGACCAGAGGTTATAAATAGAACCCGAACAGAAGACCAACCGCGGTGGGAGAAGAATGCTTCAAGAAGAAAACTATAAGTGAAAAAGAACAATGCCACATGCAAAGGAACGACGAGAGAAAAGACAAGCAACGGACATAAAGTGAATGGTATTATGCAGCGATAGCCATGAGGGGAAGGACGTATAAAGAGCCGGATGCTGCAGGCATGGAAAGGGAGTCCAAAGTTAGTCGTACACAGAGGAGTATCCATCATCCACCATTCAGGAGCAAATAGTAATCGGGGGCTTCAACGGCCAAGCTCTTGGGTCTTCTCATGAGTGGCTCTGGTTGGAAGCCGGCGCTGCTCTAGGCCCCGATCTACAGCTGGACCGAACTTCTTCCAGGGCCACCAAGTGGAGCCGAAGAGGGGAGACATTGAGACAAAAAAGAAAAATTCCCAGTTGATCCCCTGAACTGGAACCTTGATTTTCTGGTCATTGCATCATTGGATCCCCAAGGTGATCAGCGGTGGTGCGAATGAAAAAGGAAGACAAAGAATATGGGGAATGGATGCAAACTTCCACACATACACAGTACATCCCTCTTGGTGGGTAGATTTGGTTTGAAGATGCCGAACTATTGTACGAACCACGTCAGGGGTAACTTCTTTTTGGTCCCAAAGGGCCTCGGAAGTGTTTCAAAATCTCCTCTTGGCATGACAGTTGCCGATCCACTTGCTCAAGGCAACTCTTGAACTTGGTTAATGTGCAAATAGGAGAATCGCGATCTCTCTTTCCACCCCCTCATGAGAGGGATCCGAAAAAAAAAAAAAAAATAGCAACCAGTTGATCTGTCTCTTTGTTTGCAGGTGTTGATCGATCTGATTCACTGCGATGATTGAAACAACGGGGATGTTTGGTCTCAACCAAAGTTCTAGACTGCAAGCTGACGCATTCTCGGGCGCCCCACTGCCCTTTTTTTTTTGCCACGATTTCAATGTGACTTGTGTACGGGTTATACACGGCCTTAGGAGGCGTTTGTTATACATAGGTGAGTGGTTGTGGTTCTTTTGTGGCTGCTAACGTAATGTCAGGCACTGGCCCTAGTGTCTCCACGATGGGCCCATCGCTGGAACTCTGTCCAACATTCTGCTCCTACTGTGGTATCGGAGCGGGTTGTATGTCATCTCCGTACCCCAGTTGTGAGAATAAAGTGTGACATTGTGGCCACTAAGCTGGCTTCAGGAGAGGGAGGTTCTGATAGAGTGCCGGCCGTGCATCTTACCCTGTTGCTTGGAATATACGCATTTCGAGAAGAAGACGAAGGATGCCGATCATGCATATACATCCGAATACACCCGTTCCAGCATGGCAAACCTTGGAAATGGTATTCTCAAGCCAAGACGACCTGATCAGTAGTTGTGCATACGGAGTAAGGGAGCAATTGTTTTCAGCGGCTGGGTTCCTTGCCTTTTTTTTTTTGGCTTGTGTACGGGCAAAATATGCTCGAGTGTGCTATAAGCTATTTCAGCCACTTCTCAAGCGCTCACCGAGTAGCCCGTGCATAAGCCGTAGCGAATCTTCAGAGATGTCTATCTTTCTCTCCCGATCAAGTATCCATTGATTCTCATACTCTAGCCACGTGATACCGCACGTGCGGAATAGTATCTGTAGGATCCTGTAGCTCCACGCTCTATTTTTATACCACGAAAAGCCCGGAAGGAATGTCTTGATACAGTTGCATTAAAATAGATCCTCGGCAGATCTAAAAGAGGCCAAGTGAGACACTCGAAATAAAGGAAAAACACTAGCTTCTGGTCAATATATACGAGGTCGTTCTAGTGTGGAATTTATACTTTTTCGCACGGATCAACCTCTTGCAAGTTTGGGTGATGTTAGCCAATTCCAGGGATAAAGGATTCCTCACTGGTGCTGATTCTACTCTCAAGGTCCTCCTAGCAGAGAACGATCTGTCTGGTCATGTTCATCCTGCAGAAGATAGGTATATACTTCGTGAAGCGCACCCTTACTGCCCGCAGAAGGGTTGTTGAACGATGAGAACGTATGGAGACCATCTCCTCCAGACAATTCACACAGGCAGTTTTGGTCGCAACTCCATGTTGGCTAGTACCAGTTTCAGCAATAATGCAAGTTTAATTCCGCCGGTGAGCCAGGAGAATTTGATCCAAGGCATTATTGAATTTGTGGCTTCCATTATGATTGAGATCGTCTTGTTTCATCCAGGTATTTGTATACCAAAATAATTCATATATGAAAGCATATTAACCATATAGTAGCTGGCATCCCTTAACCAGAAAAGGTCTCCAGGAATTGAAGAAGAGATTGCCTAGGCATTTTCCAACCTGATCATTCACACGCTCAAGCAAACATGACCCATTATTGATGAGAATAAGACCGGCTGGGACTATGTTGCCAAACTACGCGCATACTATGTAAGCTTGTCATTTACGGAGCATCGAGTTGAGTTTGAAGTTGATGTAAGGCTCAAGTATGTATTGCGTACGCAGAATTTGAAACAACGCGGTTTTCTAATCTGGATGTTCGATGTATTTATTATGAGATAGTCTTGGTTTGGGAGTCATTCTAGGGGCTAGAATCTCCTATCATATATCTCCAATCTCTTCTATAGACATACTGTATAGCTTTACCAGCTGGGAATACAAATTTAGGGTCTGGTCCTTTGACTTTTTTGCCTTCTATTGCAATATATACAAGTCTATTGTAATGTGTACAAGACATTCAAAGTACACTTGAAATGTTAGCTACACACAAATTTTCATCCGAAGTTAGCTCTTCTTCACTACTACCAGCCTATATTATGTGACTTTGCCTCTGGCCTACCATGGTACTCTCTCGCCGAGATAGTTAACAAATTGACCCGGTGTAGTTGACTTTTGTGCCCCCTTGATCTTGAGAGAAGTCAGCATTTCCATTCGAGAACGATGAAGATAAAGTAAGCTCTATACACACCTGCTTGGTGATTCCTTGGACGCTGTCCTGGACGGTCAACGGAGCTTGTTCCAGTCCAATGAATTGCGCATTACGACTACCCATGTCTGTTTGGACAAGTCTGATCAAAGTTAGTGACCAAGGAACTATTCTGAATTCATTGGAAAGGAAGAAGAGTTATAGGGATAGAACCTACCCAGGGTCGACTAATAAAGCGACCAGCTTCGGGTTCTCTGCCTCGATTTTCCTGACCAGGTAATTGCCCGCCACCTTGGACATTCCATAAGCTGTGGCCATGGACGGGATGCGTTCGATCTCATCAAGGCTTGCCAGTAAAGTAGAGGTGTAGACAAATTTGGGCTGGCTGGCGTTCAGCAACAATGGTGCTGTGGCCCTGAACAGCCTCAGTGGTCCGAGGGTATTCACTTCGAAGTGGGACAGCACGTCCGCATCCGTCATGTCCACCACAGGGCCCCAGTGGCTGCAAACCCCTGCATTGGCAAGGACAATGTCAATGTGTTCAATGTGATGCTGGGTTTGGATTTCGGCAATGGCCTCGGTGGCGCTCGATGGGATGTCGAGGCTGAGCGGCACGAGAATCAATTGGGAGCCAGAGCCCGTTGGCAAAGACCGTAGTTCCTTGGTGTTCTCAGCTGAGACATCTCGAATGGCTGCAATGACAGTGGTGTCCGTCTCCCCAAGATAGTGCGCTGCAAGGCCTTTTCCGATGCCTGTATGGTCGAGTTAACTCAGATACACGATCTCTACAATGTGTTCTTGACTCACCTCGATTGGCTCCTGTAATGAAAATGACCTGGCCCATCTTGAGATTCACCGAATTTGAGTGATATTGGACACGGGTAATGTACTTTCGCAGCGACGAGTGTTCTCTCCAGATCACCAGTCAAGATTTGGGACCAAGACAGCATTTATACATTATGAGCCAAGAAAAACCAATCTACTCCGAATATATTCAGCCCCTCTATCGGCATTTTTGTGTCCGACGCGATCTAGACTAGAGGTGGGGGCGGGCAATACTACTAGTACTAGTAGTTAGTCCGGATCTCCTCACCGATGATTAAGCGGGGTGTGATGGTTGACTCCATGTTTATCCAAGCTCTTCGGGGACACCTGTTATATTCATATTTGACGCTTCCAAGCGCATGGGAATTAGCATCATGATTCTAATCGTCGCAGTGATAAACTTGTCTCCAAGGGAGGAATAAGACCTTCTTTCCACATATTCCAACCCCGTTTCGCAAAAGGGCCTCACGATGATAACTTTCTGAGTTGTCATACTTACAATATCATGGTGACATTGGGAAAGACCCTGGTGCCATTCAGATCTTCACACTCCACATCCCCACTTCCAATCTCCGTCATAATTAATTCCGCTTCGGCCCCTACCGTCCTCAGGAGCTCCCCGAACATCCCCCGCCAAAAGCTCCATCTCTCCTCGGAAAAGCCACACCTTCCGTTCCACAGTGAGCACCCTCCCGGTCTCGGGTAGCCAAGCGATCTGCTTTAGACTGGTACCATGACAAGCACATAATCCATTCTAGGAATCAAGGGAAATGTTGCCGACAGGACTATGCTATACATCATTAGGAATCGAAAAATTTCTCGCCATTCACTTTAATCATATTACATCATGAAATTGTTAGCCACACATCATGGCCTCTAAATGTATAAAAAGGCCAAGCAATTGTGGTGATGAGCTTCGCGGGCACTCTAGTTACTTGCGCTGAGATCTCTTTTTTGCTTGGATTTCACCTTCAGCGTAAAGGGTTATAGCAAGAAGGATAGGACCCAATCTTGCCATATCCGTTCGCTGTTGGGTATTCCATGGACCATACTGGTGCATGGTCAGGAAGGATGAGGCTCCAGTGCCAGGTGCTTGGTATGCAGACATTTGGTGCCTTGACGCTTCGTTCTGGGATCCTCCAGTCTCGGACGGTTTAACCTGGAATGGTTCATTCTTGAGATACGCAAGATACCTATCATCATATTCAGCAAACGTTAGAAAAATCTCGTGCCGACCCTGTGAGATAAGGATTCGTCTGCAATCAACTGTCAGATTCATCGTGTTTTTATTGGGATTAAATCACAGACTTACATTTTGCCAATGTTGTTCTCTTCAGAGTCATTTATGAGCCACCCAACCATTTGAGCGCTCTCCTGCATCTGAATAAGATTCTGTGTCTTTGATCGGGTGGCAGGCTTAACTTCAATGAGAGCATAAGCATTCTCCTCGCCGTCATCCAGATATCCATCCGTCCGAGCTTCGAAGCTGGCCTTGGTGAAATTGGCAATGAATCCTTTTCGGTGAATTGTCCAGTTGCAAAACATAAAATCACCAAAGTGAATTGTAAGTGCATCCAAGAATATTATCAGTGCAGCATTGACAATTTGTTCATCTTTTGTCGGCGGGAACATCAACTTCTGAAGCTATTCAGGGGCTTGGGTGGCTGGAGTAATAGGTGAGGGCTCTGGGGAAGGCTCCTCAGTATCTGATTCCAATTCATTGTCCGAGGATGAGAGAACTGGTGTATCCGGTGGTTTGGCTTGCTTTTTTGGTGAGGTTTCGGGTGGATTCAGTTGTAGTCGAGATATATCTAGCGCTTTACCATCGCGTCTGCTGCGGATACGCTGTGCAATCGGAGTATCGAAGCTATTGGGTCTTGTCTTCCCTTTGCTATCTGGGCCATCTTCTGATAATGGCGAGCCACTGCAAAGCTCCCTTCGGGGGTTTTCATGCTACCAAAACTATCACAGTATGTGTTCCACGATGGAAAGTCCGCCAGCATTTGAGTTGCCTTTGGGAGCAGGTCATTGATTTGCTCCGGGAGTGCTACCTCTACGCGGTGCACCGCCCAGATAACGCGAAGGAACAAGTATTGGTCATAGCCAATTTTTGATCCAGAAGCGAGCCCAGCTGCGTGAACAGTTTTCCCCTCGAGTTCCTTTGCTTGGCAAAATGCTCCCACTCATGGCAATCGGAAGGAATGTCACTGAAAGTAGTACCACTCATCCTAACGAGACAAGAGACAATGATAGTATAAATGTCGTGGGGACAGTTGATCACCAAATAGAATGCTAGCTTTTCTCCTTTGTTCAATAGAAGAGGAGTTTGGAGCTTTGTCGCAACAAGCGAAGAAGCAATAAAAAGGCTTTAAAAGAAGCCATCTTCATCCTAGAGGAGATCCAGGAGCCCAAGCTTGTTTAATAGGCCAGCCCCATTGTCGCGCTGAGGCGTTGTTTAGACCTAAAAGAGGGGCCCAGATAGGGGCCACACACCAGACGGCTTCTCAGCTCAAGCGAAGCATACTATCGTCTAAGTCATATCGTGATAAAGCCAAGGGCGCTTACTCTGTATGAAATAGATTTGGGTAATTGAGCCACGTCACCGTTCATGGCTATGACCAATGAACTTGCCTCATACAACCACCGGCTCTCTGGAGATGAGGTCTCATTACAAGTACAAGTCACAGCGACTGTAGCTGTAGTTTCCCTCTTGCACGTCATGCCGCTGGGGCGGCAAATACCCCGACTTTGAAGAGCAAAACAAAAACCTCTCCCCCAAACAACGGGATAATCCCCACCATGGTCGAGCATATATAATCTGTTTTTGTGATTCTCGAATGAAAATAAATTTGCAGGCTTGTACATACTGATCATACTAAAAATGTCTTCTTGCGAGTCTCCGCATCACAAGGAGCTACGGGATGCGCTATGTGCAATCAAGAAAGATATTGAGGGCCTTGAACCATATCAATTTGATTACAGTCAACTGAAGACTCACAATATATACGCCTCACTCATGGATCTGAACGAAAGCTCCAGCATCAAGCCTAGATTTTTCATGCCATGTGATGCTTCTTTATTGTTGATCAATCCGGATGCTACATACGACCAGACAAGGTCAGCATATAACGAATTTGATTCAATCAGCCCAGATTTCGGACGTCCTATCTACTGTGCGCGCTGGATGATCAGTTATTTCTCTTATTATATCGTTGCTAGCGCTATCCATAGCAAAGACTTCATCCTTGACGAGTTGTGGTCTGGTGTCAGGTAACTAACCCCCGAGATGTCCTTGTCCAGTTATACTTCTTCCTACATCAATATATTGAACTCATCTTCTGACACTAGACAACAGCACTAGTGATGAGCCTTGGAGAGGCTTATGGGAGGATGAGTATCTTGAGTATGGGACCATCAAGGCCCATCAAGTCAAGGATCGTTCATCCCTGCCTACGCCTGGTTAGCCTAGAAAAGTGAAGCAGAAGCTAAGCGAATATATAGGTTCTTCTTTTCTCCTTCATGGGGCCCCAACATGCTCGGGTTATTGAAGCATATCTCAGTGGCACCTCGTTTATCATGCGTACAACCCCGCTATTTGATCTTCGTAAGAAGGACGAGGCCTTAGTTAAAACCTTTGGGCAGTGGTACCTTGGAGAGCTGACGGGAAATACGAAACAGCTTTGGAAGCTGTGATGCTGCACTCTGCGACAGGCATAAGGAATGTTTATGATGGAATGTAATGATGCATTTGGGACACGGAATGACGTTGGGTGCTTTGGATGGAAGGGTTTTGGTTTGGATTAATTGGTCTGTTTGTTCTTCTGAGTTGTCTATAGGCGTTAATGGGAACAGTGACCGTAATGCCTGCAGTTGGAGTTAATTGAGATAGATCGGCTGCACAAATGGAGTGCATGCTAATAGGCCAGTAGAAATCACCCCTGGCAGGTCAGCGAAAGCGGAGCCTTGAAGATATACACAACCAGCTTGAATTGTAGGTCGTTCACTTCAAAAAGACCCTTGCTGCGATCAAGTTCGCCAGCTTTGGAAGCTTGCACCACAATAAAGAGCTTCATTCAAGCGTTGACACTAGGCTGACCGGCTGATGTCATGCTGTAGATATGCCGCTATATAGTACTAGTAGTAAAGCATTCATCCACGGATAGCCGATACACATCAGCATGACTTCACCTCAACTAGACCAATGAGGAGCTGAGTACGACCTGAACTTGCAACGCATCGCGAAAATCCACTTTCTTCTCAAGGCCAATAGGGGGAGGTTCCTTAGGCACTCGTTCCAAGAAAGAGGACGCGTTCTTCTTCCATCATCGTTGCGGCTGTGGTTGGCCTTAGGCGAAGATGTACGACTTGTAGATCATGCGTAGTAAGCAACAACGTCATGCGCCTGGGACGACAGGGTCAATGATCCTAGTAGCGATAGCGGGGATATCATGATCTGGCTCATTTTAGAATGATATATCATTAAGTCATCTACTCATTCTTCCGTTTGCGTATCCACCAAGCATATTTATATCTACGATGCAGTCAACATCCAAAATCTACCCAATATGTGGGCCAACCACTGGGCTCCGTCCAGGATTGAAGATGTTGAATCAGTCAAATAGGGCACATTTATGTCCAGTCTCGTTAGATCTATCCATTGATAGGCGCCATGATACAGGAGTGGTAGAACCCATCGCCTGGAAACATACTATCGCTCCACTATGAGCTCTTGAGGTCGTCGACTCGTCCACAAAGACCCCCACCAATGAGCATGAGCCCTAATAGATGCCACAGGTAGATATAGATATAGATTATGAATCCCACAGTTCAAAACAGAACCGGCTAACCATTTGTACCGTATGTTAAGCTAGGAGAAGACAAGCTGAGCCCGTACTCGGATACTTCTTTGTTTCACTTAACCACATTGCATACTTACTCAACTCAGCAATGACCACCGAATCTGTAAGATAAGTATAACCTAGGACACAGAAATGTTATACGCGAATATTACCGTCATTAATTCATTACATAGTTTAACTCTGACTCATTTCGGGATCTAATCTGATCAAACGGTAGAAACGGATCTACGGTACTTTTGACTCTTCAATACGACCTTCGATATTTACCAGATCGAAAGCCAAAACCAATTAATGTAGGGGGGAATCATGGGAAAGATTACAAGATGGGCCGTGGGCCCAAGTTTCAAGATTCTACAATAAATCCCCGGTTCACATGCCGCATGTGATTTCTGGAAGATTTAATCTTGGATAAGGACTCTTCAGACATCGGAACAGATCGGAGAACCTTAATTGTTTATCCCCCTTTGAGTAATACCCCGTATTTCCGATCATCCCACATAATCACAATCAATGGGTTCATTGAATCTTTCCCGAATGCCGAAGAGGCATGCCTTGTGCCAGCCTTACCTAGGTTATTAGGGTTATTCCGTTTCTTTAGACTCGGGGGTACGGAGAGACTGATTGGCTGGTTGCCTAGTGGATGATCGACGTCACCCTTTTTGAGGTGGTGTGACTCAGGTTTCTTCTTCTCGAATCCCGAGTTTTTGGTTGCGATCAGGAGATGGTTCTAGTTATTCACTACGATAGCTTCACAATGGATACTTTGATATACTGTGATTCAATAGATGTCATCAAATTGTGCATAGATAGCATCACTGAGCTTCATGATGAAATAATAAGTATAAGGAAATAGAAAGGCCACTTCAGTGGAAATCAATCATCGCTAAAGTAGAACAAAACAACAACGCTAGTTAAATCAGTGTTGCTTCTGGTAACTCTGCTGCTTGGGACCTAAAACGTCTTCCAAGAATCCGTTCCACAGCTCTTTTACAACACCGGGCTCCTTGGAGCCGTTCTGGGACTTCCAAAGCTCCTCGCCGAAGCGGGATTTGCCAACCGCCTCGGTTAGTGAGAATGGGTCGATATCCACTGAGTTGTTGTCAACAACTTCGGCCATGGGGCTGACTGCGACATCGGCCCCGCCCCCGGAGATAGTGTGTACCTGGGGCTTCATGGGTGGGTTCGAGGGCTGGCTCGAGCTGTTGTTGGTGTAGACATCGGAAAGGATCGGAATGCGAGTATCAGCGGGGCGAGAAGGGGCATCAATCTCGTCCATGGATGGCAGGTATGCAAAATCCACAGTGGATGAGTCATTGACGGCCTTCATGGCACGAGAAGTGTTGAATTGGCGGGTTGGAACAGATCTACAAGGGTGGGGAATGATGTCAGCGTCAAGCCCTTTGTGCCGAGGCAAGAGGGCAGTTAGAGGTTAAGCACTTACTCCGCTGCAGAGCTGCCATTGATTCTTCTCATGGCAATGCTGAAAGCACGGGATTGAAGGAAGTCGTGGTTGGCAAGGCGCTCGACGAGCTGTACGGGGGTGAAGCGGTTAGCTCGGGTTTAATGGGAAGCCATGCTCAAAACATCAGTGATACGTACCTCACTCTGGTTGCCGCTGACTCCCAATTTCCTCTTGTGGCACTCCCTCTGGAGGTCTGCCAAGCTGCGCGTAGCGTACAAAGACGTACGGTCCTGAACGTTGACAGGTTGTGCAGAGTTGACCCCAGTGATGTGCAGGCCCCGGCGGAGGCAGGGTGTAGCAGCATGTTGCTGAGAGAGCGCGCGAAGGGCGCGCAAAGAAGTCGAGCGAGGAGCTGCCATTAGGAAAATAGTAGCGCGGTTGATGGGTGTTATGTTCAAGAAAAGAAGAAAGCAACGGTGCTTTAAAGTTGTGGTGGTACCCGGAAGGGATATGGATATATAGATATTATTAGAGTAGATCGAGTATGAGAAGATATAACGTAGAAAATAGGTGTAAGATGATTAAGTAGGAAAAACACAGAGGAATCCAAGAGTATTGAGTAGATGTACAGGAGCTGTAGGGAAGGGAGGGAAGGAATGCAGTCGAGGAGAGCTCAGTACTTGTACTTCTGAATGCTTGCAGGAACCGTTGGGGGGGGGGGGGAAGAGTGAGCTATCCACTTTCACCCTTCCGGTGGACTCTTGACGCAGACTGGGGCGGTCTGGGCCAAGTCGGCGGGTTGCTAATAGTAGTAACCCACTAAATTCCCCGACTAAATGGATCGATCGATGGTGTCGTCTGGGCGGGCAAAAAAATGGGTATGTATGGATGTAATTACCGAAACGCAACAGACTATTTTCTTGTTTCTCCAATAGTATTCAGATCTACTCGTCCCCGTTCAAGCAGATCTTCTCGCTTGAACAACTGTATTTTAATAAAAGAAAGAGAAAAAGAAAAAGAAAAAGAAAAATAAGATAAAAGAAAATAGAAAGAGGAGGGTAGAGGTGGGGTAAAATGCGAGATTAAAAAATAAGTAATGATGGTCGGTTCCATACATTACATATCAGGTCTTCAGCAGGATAAGAGTCAAAGTATGGGGTATGGACACTCAACACATCCGTGGACCTCAAGGATCGGATGTACAAGCATGCATATTCCCCGGCGCTACGGCTGGTAAAACAGCCAATCGATCAGGCAATCCATGAATTTCTATGACTACGAGGTCAGTTGATGATCACGAAAACGCTTGCCCGTCCCGGAACCTGTCGCCATTAAACATTGGTCAACCCTGGTGCATCGAAGCTTGTTACGTCGGTGTGCCCTGAGGTTCCCCTCTCTTTCCTCGTGCGTTTAAACCATTTTGTGTTTTAAATTATTAAAAGTATTTCTAACTGACTTTGAAGCACATCGGAGGGGTCTAGCGTCGTGTATAGAGACCAATCCAATCACTTCTTTTCTCTTTTCGAAACAGAAAACTCCATGTCACCCACCTTAACTCCACAGGGAGGTACTAGTTGTTACGATCTTCCTATTGTAGGACTGGATAGACTACTACTCTGCACGGAGTAGATTTGTTGTCTTGCCCTCGCGAGGCACGCCAGGTGGTGCTACGAGTAGTGATGAACTCATGAGTCAACGTTGGAGAGTCCTTGACCGAAATACTATGACACAGAGAAAGCGTAAGCGAGCGAACGAAAGGGGCAATACTAGTAATCGCAGCCCTACAATAGGACGGCACAACATTGAATTGGATGCTCTCTATTTCTACCTATCTCATGTAGTATGCAGTGTGTTCTGCATCCTCGTTTCGTCCGTAGTCAGTGACGCAATTGATTCGTGAGGACAAATACCGCGGGGAAGTCAGTACCGTCCATACATACATACATACATAAATTACGAGCACTAGTAGTATGCTAAGCGGACGGATCAATGACGAAGCTTCCATAATATTACCGAGTTGGGAGGATTCTTACCCTTTACAGGAAGAGTAAATGAATCCCGCCGTCCGCATGATTCATCAAAAGTCCGTCTTAATTTCTGATCCCGCATTGTTCCTCTCAACTGTTGAGACTCAGGCGAGAGGCGGTGAAGTGGGGATCCAAGCGACCTTGTTGTCGATCGGAGTTGGCCCCATTTTCCGGGAGGCTTTTTATTCCAGAATTAGTCTAAACGACACGATTATTATGGGGACATGACCAAAGGTACTGTGTAAAGGATAGACTGGGATTCAAGATACCGCGTTAAGGAGAAAACGGGTGGAAACATCGGGGCAGGATCGAAGGTACGCAGTAATTCGCAGACTTGTCGGCAGTAGGATTAAACATACGCAGTATTTTAGGGGCTGGGATTAAAGATGCACTGTAGCGTAGGGAATGATCGACTCCCTGTTCTGCATGCCATCCCATTGGGGGAGAGTCACGAGGACAAGAAGCATTCAATGCCTCGTAATTTGTCGATTGCATGAAGTAATTGATTTTGGGTCTAACCCAATTTCCTTTTTTTTTCTTTTAGTTTATATTGTTTTGTTTTGTTTTATTTCATTTCATTTTATTGGTTGCTCAATTGCGTATTTTTTGTTTACTTGACTCTGGTCCTCACCTCATCAAATCATGATGATGATACACATCCCAGTCAACCTCCCTGTATGTAACCTTCCTCTTTCAGTCTTCGGTGATCTGGTCCATATAAACATGATAATAATGAGTATCTCATTCTTCATACCCGACACCATTATCTACTCTCACATTATTCCTTGCGCCTTTAATGCCTCTGATTGGAAGCTTAACTGGGAACAAGATATGCACTTCAAGTTGTATGGCCTAACCTAATTATTACCTCGTGCCGTATTTCCAGACATCTCACATATACTTTTGATATTTATGCCACCACTGAATTGTTAAACGATGACGATCGCACTTTAAGCATCCCGATAGCCGTCTATCTACTCCGATGTAACTGGGCCGCTTTGGGTATATCTGCATCATAAGTATCAAACCTACATGCCGTGATCAAGCAAGACAATTATAGGCCGACGGGAGCCCTAATCCAACCATTCTGCATCCACGCGAATCAAAGCACTTGAAGATAAGCATTTCATATTTATTTAATTTTTGTTAGTGGGGGTCTATACAGGTCTGCGGGTATCTCAGAGCTGTTCAGAGCTTGGAGACGTGCAACGTACGTCGCCCTTTGGCAACTTTTCGTGCATATGGGTGCTGACGGGATTCGGGAACCAGGTGGTCAATGTCGGCTGTGTGGACTAGATGTGGACCGGCTTCGTCTAGTGTGGTAACCCCGTTGTTGCGCATAGCTGTTTCTAATTCGTCTCTCATGACTAAGGTATGGTAAGCGATGATTAGAGACAAAGCGTACAGGGAAAGAGACTCATCACTTACTCTCTATCAAATGCTCGACACCCTCCTGACCATAGTTGGTGGCGAATAGCATACTGCGCCCCATACCCACTGCAGTTGCGCCCAAGCAGATAGCCTTCAAGATGTCGGTCCCGCGTCTGATTCCACTATCCACGTATATCTCCATCTTGTCAAAGATTTCAGGACAGCGCTTCTGCAGTTCGAGAAGCGTAATGATCGACGGAGGGCTGGTGTCAAGGTTCCGGCCTCCATGATTGCTAAGTAGAATACCGTCGAGGCCGGCTTCCATGGCCAAAATGGCGTCGTCTGCAGACATCACGCCCTTTAGGCAAACAGGGAGATGCGTATGCTGCCGTACCCACACCAAGTCCTCCCAGGTCAGTCCAGGGTCGATGAAACCGGCCATCACACGTCCCAGGCCACCTCCTTTGTTATCATTCTTCGCTTTGGATGGGGCCATCGGTACGGATAAGCTTTCGTCGGCCTTGACACGTTCGTCTGCTTCTCTTTTACCCGGCCAAGCTGCATCAACCGTCACAAATATGGCCTTTACGTTAGGATTTGCTGAGCATTGACGGAGCAGCGCGGCTGACTTTTCACGGTCTCGGTTGACATATAATTGGAAAAAGAAGCTTGCCGAAGGTGCGGCGTCTCTGAGCTCTTCCATTGTGTACGAAGAGTTATTGGAGATCTGATATACTTATTAAACGAGGAGCAATCAATGGGGAAGTTTTCCAAGCTTACTCCCTGCATAATTCCTTGGTTTCCACAAGCTCGAGCAATAGCGCACTCGCCATCGGGGTGAATAAGTTTCGCCATCGCTGCAGGACTCACGAATAATGGCAGGCTGCTGTCGACCCCGAGGATTTTAGTCTTCGTATCTACAGATCGGACATTCTTCAGTACCCGTGGCCGGAACCAGATTCGGTCGAAGCAAGACTTATTGGCGTCCCGGGTAATAAGATCTGTTGCGGCGCTGGAGTAAAACGCCCATGTCTTTTTACTGGCTGTCTTTGATGCCACAAGCTCGAAATCGTGCGAGTTGATTAAGGTATGCAATGGTGGCTTCTCATGATCAAGGACTACTTTGGCATTCTCGGTAGTTGGCTGCTTGACCCATTCGTCATCGATCGTGGACACATCCAACACACCCATATGCTTTTCTTGGGGCAAGTTCGTTGTCAGAACGCTTGGGGCATGAACTTCCGAATAGGCCTTGGTAGCATCGCGACCTGCGTATTTCAGAATAACTGCATGATCAAGGCGACTGTGTTAATATCTGTAGCGTTCAAGTATAGATGTATGCCTCACTCGAAGGTCCTCCAGGATGTTCTTTCAAGAATTCTGTCACATCCCATATCTGATTGTCGACAACAATCCAGCAATCCTGCACGGCATTGTGCTCTGAGATTTGCTGAACAGACAGAAGTTTCTTGTCTGCCATTTCAGAATAAATGTGTAGGTTGAACGATGCTGACGATCACTCAAAATAGCAGAAAAGAAGCAATCTAATGTTCAGATGATAGAATTTCACCTGTGCGCAATGCTTACATATAAGTATATACTGTTGGAGCCTTGATAAAACGGGGAAACGCCGAAGTAGAGCTTAAAACAAATTGTTATCGATGGTGTAGAATCAGCGGTAACAGAAACCTCCGCAGATCCATCGCAGGAATGCGGAGAATGTAACAATTGAAGGGCTCCACAGCGGCCATCGTCCCGAACGCCCGGATTAGAAGAGCCCGACCTTAGCACACAGTACACCTTCGTGTATGTATCCAGGCAAAGAGAAAGTCCCTTGTATCCCAAGCATGAGCAAAATGCGTAGAATTTTGCGCTGTCAATCTCCTATGAAGACAACACGTCGCAATGAGTAAGTTGGTATCTCCATAGTCCCTACAGGAACAAGGAAGGTATCGGAATCCAATGAGGAACAATGAATTAACGAGAGAATCGGAGGAGCACCGAGATCAATCACTGATTCGGACACTTCTCCGCATCAACAATCTACTATCAAATGACTCAGCATTTTCACTAGCCACGGAGGCGCAGCAATTCTGTGGCTGATGGTGGGCTCTCGCCAAGAGGTCCACCACCGAAATTGTCTCGCGGATATCGATAGGGACGGGATCCTTTCAAGAAAGAAGTCGTGAGGGCAACAGGAAAGAGGTATCGTTGTTTTCAGATGCGTGTGGCTTTTGGTGTAGAAAACCTTTCCAGGATACTCGGGAATAGTAATACAGCCTTCTCGAGTTGTGTAAGATCCAGAGGAACCTGCACCGCATTTTCCTTGCCTCGATTTTGCCAGCAGCATAGTGGAGGTATGTTCAACACTGCCCAATACCTACATGTATTCTGCCCCGGTCAAGGCTGAGTAGATTGTCGGCTGCTGTATCTACAACTCACTTGGACATATACAGTACTTTGCAGTAACCCTTTTTTGTCACAACTTTCTCGCTGTTCTATTCTGAGCAAAAAAGCATTCTCTACAGGCGCAACCAAATATTCAGCTGCAGCCAATATGGGTGACACCAGTAAACCCTTAAGATATGTCGACGTGAGTTCCCTTGCTCTTTTACATATCAACGTCTCAGTAGCTGATAAGGAAGGACACCTTCGTGTAACCAGATTGGGATCAATTTTAGTGATCCTGTTTTCAGGGGAGAGTACCATGGAAAGCAGGTTCATGAAGGTGACTTGGACGACATCATCCAGCGTGCTCGCGAAGTAGGCTGCGAGAAGTTCATGGTTACAGGATCTGATGTGGAAGAGTCCCGACGTGCTATCGAGATTTCCCAGAACTATCGTAAGTAGTACTGCTTTCTATATTCTTTCTCAACTTGTGTAACTCATCTGGCTTAACATTGTCTGGTCCTAACTGACAAGTCCTTGAACAGCGGGGTTTTGCTATGCCACAGTTGGTGTTCATCCCTGCCAGGCGAAACTGTTCGATGAGTTTCCGGGTGGACCGTCGAAAATGCTTGACGAACTGAGGTCTCTTGCACTAGAATCGAAAAACTCTGGATACACAGTTGCATTCGGTGAAATAGGTCTCGATTATGACCGGTTGTTCCTGAGCGCAAAAGAACCTCAACTGAAATATTTCGAGGCCCAGCTGGATCTCGCAGTAGAGATACAACTACCCCTCTTCCTCCATTCCCGGGCTGCTAGCGAGGACTTTGAGCGGTTACTGGCACCCAGGCTTGAGAAGCTTCCCAAGAAGGGTCTCGTTCACAGTTTTACCGGGACTATCGAGGAGATGAAACGCATGGTGGCCCTCGGCTTGGACGTCGGTGTCAATGGTTGCAGCTTAAAGACGGAGGAGAACCTGGAGGTGGTGAAGGCTATACCTCTGGAACGACTTCAAATAGAAACGGATGGCCCGTGGGTAAGCAAACAGCCTGTTTTCCTACCATTCGTCTGGACTTCATTGTTGACGGTGCTTCCTTACAGTGCGAAATCCGCCCGTCTCACGCATCCTCCAAATACCTAGAAGGTGCACCGACACTGCCAAAGGCTGTCAAGAAGGAGAAATGGCAAAAGGGTTGTATGGTTAAGGGTCGCAACGAGCCTATTGCTATCGCCCATGTCGCCCACGTCATTGCCATGGTTAAGGGAATCACTGTTGAGGAAGTTTGCGAAGCGTGAGTATTTCCCGAATTAAATAACCTCCCAGTTATAGATCGCTAATCCCTCGCATTCTAGTGCCTATAACAATTCAATTAGAATGTTTGGACTTGGAGAAGGAACATCGTAGCTCGGTCCCTATCTTTTCCAAACAGAGTGCTCTATTCATACTTGACTTTGAACTTTTCTTGATAGCCTAATAGACACGGACTTCGGATATCCCTTGCCAGAGTTTTAACCATCCTTGCTTTGCTGTGATGATCATGATAGATAGATGAGTCTGGAATTTGTCGTTACTTTGCGGATTCCCGGATCTCCCCGAAAAGGCCCAAGGCCCCAACCATGGTTCGAGAGGGCTTTCAGGGCTGCACCTGGATCTGGAGCCGCCTACTGAACACGAAACAAGCGAAAACTTAGACTGATGACCACTCAACTCCACGGCGTTGCGTCGGGAATTAGGAGTATAACAAGAGACCCTGCAGACGCTCTTTGTTCTCAAAGCTTCCCGTCACGGAAGTGGATAATCATACGCTTTGTCCTTCAATAAATCTGTCGCCCATTATTATTTCCCTGCAGAGCTGGGGTTTATTTGTTCTTTTTATTAAAGCCGGCTGCTCCCTGGTAGTGGGCTTTGACGGCAAAGGTCTACAAGAGCAACTTTTCTGCTCCTTTTTTTCCATCAGCTCACCGCCCCGAAGCTGCAAAAGTGCAACAGTTGTTTCTTTCTCCACTCCCCCAGACTGTTGGATTGCTGTCTCAAAGACTCCCTTGTTTCTTGCTCGTCCTAGCCTAACAGCTCTTTCGACTTTAAACTCGTCAAAATGTTTGTCACTCAAAGATCTTCGTCTGTCTGAAACTCTCGAGACAGACTTCTTCAAGTCTCTCTCAAGTTTTATAGACCACCGCGTCATTTTTCGCTGGACGACTTCTCAGCACTTTCTAGGCTGGGAATAGGCCTCTCCTCCGCTTCAAATTGGTTGGAACACTAGAGGGTCTTGTTTACTGTCCTTGCGTGCCGAACACCTCCGCCTAGGAACATTGGCCCCTTCAATCCTCGAAGGCCTTTGAGGCATACAGCGACCTGCCGTGTTATTCCATAAACATGGCTAACATGGCCATGGTTATTCCCCTGGCGCAGAACGCCTCCAGCAGTTCTCTTGTCGGTCAAAATGGTGAGAATCTTTCTATTGATACAACGAGGGTTTTCTAGCGATACCCACATCCTGTATTGCTTTCGAGCTGACGTACGTCAGGTTGTGTGACAGAAAGAGCACGCCTTAAAGGCTCATTGGCAGAATCCGAGCTGATGTACTCTGAGTTACCCCCGAATTTTGGGGAGGTTGTGGAAGGAATCTATCGCAGCGCATTTCCCAGCCCTTGGAATCTTCCCGCGCTAGAGAACCTGGGCCTAAAGACTATAATGTCAGTGGTATTTCCATGCGTCGCATGGATTATGTGTTAACATGCTACATAGCACTCTCGTCGAGGAACCGTACGGTGTGAGTCATATGAGTTTTCTTCGCGAGAATGGGATCGCACACTTTCGCGTTATCGTTCAAGCAAACAAGGATCCTGAAGAGAAGACCCCTGATCATGTAATCAATGGCATCCTTGAAATTCTCCTCAACAAGGCCAATCATCCGATTCTTATCCATTGCAACAAGGGAAAGGTATGTGGAGGGTTCTTTGTGTTATGGTATCTACTCTAATTGATCATCTATAGCATCGCACTGGCTGCGTAGTGGCCTGCTTCCGAAAGATTCAAGGTTGGAACTTGCGCGAAGTCATTGACGAATATTTAAGCTACTCTTGGCCAAAGTCAAGAGCTCTGGATGAAAGGTTTATCGAAGCGTTCGACGCAAGCAAACTCGACCAGGTGGCTAAGGATTCTAGTGCCAAATTGTGGAAACCTACCGGTAACCACAGAAATCCAGAGCCCTATGCGTTGCGCTCCACATTTTGACGGGTACCTCAGTGATCCGAACCTGTTAACCATCACGACTTATGACAACCTGCTACTCCGAGAAAGAGATCTACGGAACTTTTATACAAAGATCAATGCATTTACATGGAATAAAGAGCGCACGTTTTAAGGGTTATTGTGCCTTAATAGAGCAGTTGCTTTATATTCTTGCTATATCTGATGTTCCTTTCCCTTGAAACTTGTCGGTCAACCCCCGGCGTTCAATTATCCGAGTATGCTGGACTTGCTTCTCGCCCTTATATGGCGTTTTCTATTACTTTTTAATGCCACGTGTGTTCACCTTGGCCATTCAATGTCTGAGCCGGGAAATTCCATGTGTACTACTGTACTCTCATGGAATGGATATGTCCACAATATGCACCTGCTACTAACAACATGTGGATCATGAGCTAACGGATTTCGGGTTGCTGATTGCTTTCTTGTTTTTTCCTTTCTGGTATATAAATAACGTATTATTGTAAATAATCACAACTTTGCTTGTCTCCTTCCATTTTTCACTGTCTCATAATAGCTCACGTAGACTCTCCGTATAATATATAAGATAAACGTGATACTAACAGTCCAAAGTTAGGAGGCCATCACAACTGGTCGCCCAACATATCATCGCTTTCTCTACCATAGGGCCCCTCTACATCGATGTCAGAGGATATACATGAAATAGGCAATGAAGTTGATACGTAATCGTCGAAACGATCCGACATAAGCATTTCATCATCGCTCAGCCGATCTACGTATAGTGATTTGCCTGTTGATACACATTGCTTGCCGTGATCAGTTTCCCAGGAGGAATTTGGTGTTGTAGGGCTATATTCCAGACAATCAAATTCGCTTTTCTGGCTTTCCATTATATCAGAGTAAACCGAGGTATTTCTCCCATCCGACAATAAAATGCTTGTTTCATATGGGTTGTATACTTCAATATCTCCATTTGTGCCTAGATAACAGTCTGATGTTTCTGTTTCGTCGATGTCCCAGTCATCGTGGAATTGGATGTGTTCTTCGATGTATTCTTTGGTTACGGTGTATCTCTGAAGCAGAGACACGCTGCACGGCCTAAGTGTAGGCCATAATGGGCTTAGCTTTCGCGAAGCTTCAGGTTTATAGAGCTTCTTTTGGGCAATGCACCAAAGGGAGGTCATTATCGTTGTTTTCATATCCATGACCTCGGGAACGGAAGATAAGCCATCAAGTCGACGGCGTTGTGATGTCTCAAGGGCAGCAGCTTTATCTTGTAGCGATTTGTTTTGTGTGGACTTTAAGATAGAACACATCGATTTGGCGATTAGGGGCATTAGTTGTGACCGTTCATTCATGGCCTATCAATAAATTGAGTCAGATCTGTAAGGGTGGGTACTTGGAGATAACCGGCTGCTCACTTCGCGGTATCTAAGACTGAATACTGAAGGCGCAATTCGAGAAAGAGACTGTAAATCGCTCTTCTTCAGCGTTGGATACTTGTAAATCCTGGGCGGATCATCACGCACGAGGGCGCTGAACCCGATGTTGAACAAGGATATGAACTCCGAGACTTGGCAGGTGTCGTTGGCCAGTAGAATACTTGCAGAGGCAGAATCTTGAGAATGCTCAACAACTTTGTCGACGAGATAAGGTATTTCCATGCGTGGCGTGGCTCCACAGTTCTCGGGCGCTGTAGATGATGATATATACCGCAGGGGTTGACTGCGGCGACTATAGATCATCGAGATATCAATTGCAGATATATGAAAAGCTGGAGTATATAAAGGAGGAACTGCATTGGTAAAGGACTTGACCAAAGCTGGACGTTTTGATGTTTCAGCTGTTACAGACCCTCCAGGCCTTCTACGTAATCCGAACGACAACCGAAAAGTTGTAGAGGAGCTATTTTCGGTCCAATGGTCACAGTTTTTGAAAAGAGCCCCAAGACCTAGTTCCAACCAGCACTATGTAAGTTGTTAGATGAAAATTCGCTCGTCGCATCGGATCAATTTCTGAGAATACCTGAGAGTTGCATAGTGCGTCCCCAATTTGAGAGGTAAGGATTGACAATGGTCGGCTCAAGCCCGATTCGGCGCTGACATGAATATTCAGTCTGAGCTCGGGCGCCTGATCCACCCATATTGTACCGGAATAGAGTACGTTCTTGAGGGTTTCAACAGATTGCAGTCTTGTAGCCCCTGCAGGGATGAGCATCTCCACTGAGGTATGCAGGGTAAGATATAAGTCACATTTGGTAGAATAGAAGATATCCGACCCCAAGTCGACCGTGTACGCCATTTTAGGCGCCCCTTATGGTGTGGTCTGTAACCCCCATGATCGGAACACGGCTATGCATTTCTGTAGGGTAGCGTGTGGGATAATTTGTACTAGATCCCTGAGGTGGAAACACCTGACATGGGACTGCGTAGTAGCAATGCAAATACTACTAGTAGTAGTATACTCGGTAAATAAAGTCTGCGTAGTCTCGTTGGCGGGATCTACTACTAGTACTAGCTTGAACTATACTTACACGGCACCTCATAACTTCTATAACTAAAATTTATGATATTCCCAAGGGAAAAGACCAGAAAACAAGAGTATAAGAAGAAATAGAAGGAGAAAATTAGGGGGAGACTAGCGTTGTAAAATCATTACCGCCAAAAAGCAATATAATTCGTATGCGTAGGGAATACCGAGTAATATTAATTCAAATCTATGGATTGTCTATTGACGGTCTATTGATCCTTGGATAATCACGCTGATTGGTTGGTGGCTATAAATAAGTGGCACTAAGTTACGTTTGCTTATCGATAAGGAGCTCACGTGAAGCTCGCATGATTACCTGTCCCAAAGCATCATCCATGTGAATTTAGGATGACAAGAAACCTCGCAAGCAGCAATGCCCAGGGATGAAGCTCAAGATCTGCTCCTGGTTGACCAGAATGGAATTGATAGGCTGGAGTCTCAGTCCTTACTTCCAGGGTCTCCCAGTGAGGAGCGCGATGCGGTAACCCCTTTTGATACAGCTCCCCACCCCCCGGTCTCTTTTCTCACCCTGTCCAATGAAATACAGCACCAGCGGCAATCCTCGTTTGCCCAGCCAGTGGCTGAAGGCCAAAGGCGGACTCCCCGCACCTTGAATCGCGTTAGATTTGACCTTGAAGACGACACGGAAGACGAGCATCGATCGAATGGCTATCCCCGACACTCGGAAGACTCGTGGCTAGAGGAGGAGGACTACGCCCGCGGGGACAATACTCGGTCAGGAAGGAGTGCCACAGGGCAGACGGTCCCTCTTCTGACAGATATAGAAGCCCCGAGTGTCACTCTCGCAACGTCCGAAGACTTCTTTCCAGAGGAGCACCTTGAGAATGCTAGGCCGAGAAGTGGAATGCGAATGGCCTTTATGAATATGGCGAACAGTATCATCGGAGCTGGCATCATCGGACAGCCTTATGCACTGCGGCAGGCAGGTATGCTGATGGGCATAACGCTCTTGGTTGTGCTTACAGTCGCAGTGGACTGGACCATTCGATTAATAGTGATCAACTCCAAATTGAGCGGCGCGGATTCATACCAGGCAACGATGCAGCACTGCTTCGGGAAAAGTGGCCTCATTGCTATATCCATTGCCCAGTGGGCCTTTGCCTTCGGCGGCATGATCGCATTCTGTATTATTGTTGGCGATACCATACCGCATGTGCTCGGCTCATTGTTCCCTTCACTCCGAGATATGTCGTTTCTCTGGCTTCTTACCGACAGACGAGCAGTAATCGTCCTTCTTACCCTGGGTATTTCTTACCCGTTGTCTCTATATCGGGATATTGCCAAGGTGTGTTCTCCTCGGAGTTGCCATAACTAAACCTAACAATTATACAGCTGGCCAAAGCGTCTACTTTAGCGTTACTGAGTATGGTGATTATTCTGGTCGCTGTGCTAACGCAGGGGTTTCGTGTCCCCTCGGAATCTCGGGGGGAGGTAAAAAGTCTGTTGTTTGTTAACGCCGGCTTCTTCCAGGCTGTTGGAGTGATATCGTTCGGTAGGTCTCAAACTGTGTATAGCCCGGAACATCCGCCTTGGTGTACTAATTGTGCATAGCATTTGTCTGCCGTATGTATTTATAAGTCTATCGAATCCCGCTTGAAGTCTGACTGTGCCACAGACCACAACAGCCTCCTCATATATGGTTCTCTGAAGAAGCCAACTTTGGATCGCTTTGCGCGGGTGACCCATTACTCCACCGGAGTGTCGCTCATGATGTGCCTGACTATGGGCATCTCGGGCTTTCTTTTCTTCGGCTCCCAAACTCAAGGAAACGTGCTCAACAACTTCCCATCTGATAATATCATGGTCAATATAGCACGGTTGTAAGTACCACATTACATAAACCTAGCAATTTTCCAAATGGGCTGACCTTGGAAGTTGCCTTGGCTTAAACATGCTCACGACTTTGCCATTGGAGGCTTTTGTCTGCCGTGAAGTCATGACAACTTATTACTTTTCGGATGAGCCATTCAACATGAATCGGCACATAATTTTCACGTCGGCGCTGGTTGTGTCAGCCATGGCCATGGCTTTGATTACCTGCGACCTTGGAGCCGTATTCGAACTCATCGGGGCAACAAGTGCCGCCGCTCTTGCATACATCTTTCCTCCTCTATGCTATATCAAGCTTAGTAATGCCTCGCGAAAGGCCAAGATCCCCGCGTATTTGTGCATTGTCTTCGGGATAACAGTCATGGGTGTTAGCCTACTGCAGGCAATTGCACAAATGATCCGGAGTAAGTGTTGATAAGTTTTAACTAAGACCTTTTGGAATGAGATACTGATTCTGGAATTGTACCATCATAGATGAGGGCGGTGCAAGCACTTGCAGTGCTTAGCCAGGCTACCACACAGCCCAACCTCCCCATACTTATTCTAGGCCTTTCCCCCAAAAGATGATAGACTTTTCTGTCCATAGCCTTATCTGGGCTGGTGTAAATAGATATTTTCAGCATTCAGCATATACAGTGTACTCTTATGTTCAAGACTTGTACTAGGGAAAGCAAACAATGTAAAGGAATATAATATCCAAAACAAACAGTATATTTATGTTTGGCTTGACGGGACTTCACTCTGCGTTTGCATCCAACTTGGGTTGCCAGCAGCTCAAAACAGTTCAACTCCTCTCTTTTCCCCCACATCCTTTCTCTTTATCTCTTCGCCCTCTCACTCTTATTTTCTCTTGTTTGTATTTCTTTCCATACTCGTGAGGTTCTTTGTTGTATGCCTCCTTCCTTTTCAATCGAATTAACACTGTCTACCATCGCATACATTCACTTTTGTTTCTGTTTCTTTTTTTTTTTTTGCCTTTTGCTCTACCTCATTCCATTCACTGAGAATTCCATTACCCCTCATCTTCTACATATTCTATATTTGTATCCGCATTTGTTTACACATTGCATCACTTTCTTGCTTACATTGTCGGGGCCAGATCAGTGAAAGATGGACCCCGAGAAAGCTGAGCGGCTTAGCCGGCTCCAGATGGTAAGTTTCTCTGTGAATCCTTGTTTTTGTGCAGTTATTGTTTACATATCATCCATCTTCATCTCACTTATCATTAATAGGAAGATTTGGGGACTGCCAGGAGGGAACACATCTCTACCACAGATAACAGGAAAGTTAAGAAGGCCCGTTTAGAAGATATTGAAGCCACTCGACTATCGAATCAGCCTGGGACGGAGGCTCAGCGTTTAGCTGAGCAGAATCGACAACAGCTCACCGAATGGAAGAGTAAGTGGCCATATTGTCACACATCCCCTCAGTCGCCTACAACCGCTCCTTGCTAATTAATATAAAAGACGTGTTCAAAAAACTAGGTGACACCATTGATCTAGAAAATCTCGATGATCTCCTAAATGGCCAAAGTCACCGTCTTCAACTGAGAGCCGCTTTGCACGGATCTGGCAGTTATGGAAGTGGTAGATCTTTAAAGACAACGGACGACTACCCTAAAGTATCAGAAGCTTTACTCTCGGCGTCTACTAGGGGTTCTAGATCACGAGGTCGAGGTGGTGGAATAGCGGGTACGAGAGGCCGTGGCGATGTGAGAGTCGTATCTGGCAGGTATGCTTCCATTATGTTATATATTTTATGGATAAAGCTGATACTACGAAGAACCCCGTCCGGTACCTCCGATCGTGCTCCTGCCTCTAAGCCGGGGCACCACATACCTCAAATGTCTGGCACCCGCAAGACTTCACTAGACCCGGCTCTAGAAATAAATAGCAGTGATTCTTACGGTAAAGGTCGTGAGAAACAAGCCCAGAATAAGCCACTGTATCAGTTTGGAAAGAAGAGAGGGTGTAAGCAGTTACTCGCACAAGTTATACACAGCACAACTAATCATGGTCCACATTTTAGATGACGAAAGGAGTCAAATATCTGCTGTTGTCAAAACTAGACGGCCAATGTAAGTCATAGGCTAATTACAGTTTCCTCTTTCTGACACCCGTCAGTAGGGATGACTTACCACAGCTTCTTAGCCCTCCCGAGTGTTTTCTAGCAGAAGCTAGAAAATTACTCCAGGGTGTCTCAGAGGCCACACTTGCTGCTGCTGCCCAGAATGACTCTAACCTCCATAGTACTCCTTCAACGGTCCCAACTCGCGAAAGTCGAATATCACCATCCAGCACCACACGAAAAGCCCCACTGCTAAACACTAAAGCTGTGGCCAGTCATGATGAGCCAGCATCAGTGACTACCCCTACAAAACCACCCCAAGAGAATCAAACGCCACAGCTGAGCACGGCCAAAGTCGCTGCGAAGCCAGTCATCGGTGATGCGATTATTCAAAATGCAGAATCTACTATCGTTAGCTCCGAAGCTACCAGCAAGGATCAGCCGGCTTCAGAAACCAGTCTCAATAGAACTTCCTCGGAAGTTCTTCTTGATTTGAGCAGTACACCACCCACAAAGGTCTCACTTGCGAGCGATGACAATCTGATAATGAGCCCTTCACTCCAAGAACTGGAAGGCCTCGAATTTATACAGAGCTTAGCAAGCACCCCTGAAAGCATATCGTCCCATAATATCCAGAGACCTGACTGTGAAGCACCCTCAAAGAGCACAATTTCCGTTGAAGCAAGCTCAGCTATTACCCAGGCAGATGAAGATGGACCCTATGGCAAATTCCAGCGTGATATAGAAATGCTCTGTAAGTTAATGGCGTCAGCCTCACTTTCGAACAAGCATCGTGAAAGCTTGGTGGAATGCAAAGCGGAGCTCGAGGCAAAACTCCAGAGTTTTCAGCGCACACCTACGCTAAATCCAGCACCCCCACAGCCTTCAGCTGAAAGCACTACAAGGGGAGAGGGCGACTTGAGTGGCTCACAAAATCGAAACAGTCCTAGCCTACTAAGCCGCCTTAATGTGACGGCGGCCCCGTTCGTTCCAAGCAGACCCGATATGTCACCCACCCCCGCTCGAGCACGAGCTAGATCCGTGTCATTCGCGGTACACCCGGACCATATATTCGGGGACCACCTGCTACCAGGTCGGCGTGAGCATCGGGTTGTAGTACACCCTAAGGAGACTCACATCTTTGGTGATCATGTCCTCCCTGGTAGACGTCAAGTGAGTGGTATGCCACACCCCTTTCCCCATCCCTGATATATAACAGCAGCTACTGAGATCGCGGCTTTTTAGAGTCAAGCAGCACTCAAATTAAATTCAGTATCCCGAGAAAATCACCAGTGCTACCAAAATTGAAAATCCCGGGATTTGAAGGGCTTGAGGACCCTGCTCTAGATTCACTCCATCCTCTTGGCGACACTCAACAGACAATTCTACAAACAGGCCCAACAAACAAGGTTATCCGAAAATCCGGTGCACCTGAAGATCAATTGCAGCAGTCAATACACGCACCAAAGGAAAATAAAACCCCAGTGACTCTATCGGGTGCACACGCCTTGGGTGGCCTTCAAGCTTCAATCTATGCAGTTCATGAGAAAAGCAAGCCCATCCGTTGAGATGAAGACCTCGGGGAATGACCAGCAATCTGAGTTGCTTGAAGTAAGTATACTTCAGCTCACGGCCGGTTTTCTACTCTGTAAAACTATTTGCCTCCTCTCTAACTCGTTGACTCCATGTGCTCGATTCTCTCTTTATTCTAGTCAGTGTTTACGTGACCTTGAGTCTTTGCTTCAGCCCATGAATCCTTTCTCTCTGCTATCTAAAAAATTTCCTCTTTTCTTTCTTTGCCTACAGTGTTTTTATTCCTCTGCACACTCTGGGAGCAATTTCATGTATAATACTGCGGGGTCTGAAAGTCGTCCTTTGCATATTCGTCATGAGGGCTACTGATGGTTCGATGCATTCGTTGAAGTACATGCTTATCTGGGCATAGCAATACACGAAAGTCTCCCTGGCTGTACATTCGCTATCTTGATCTTCTGAGAAAGCTCTATATTTTCAGTTGTCAATTAAAAAATGCTTGTTGGAGGAAAAGTAATAGATATTCAATGCTTGATTACGATCGATGGAATGACACCACCAGCTGGGACTCGCAAGGCATACCCCTTGTCTTTTCCTTGTTTTGTTATCGTTTTGAAACCTCTATAGGAACTCCAGGCAGCGTCCATGCTCATGGTTTATTTTGTTTGTTTGACAGACTACGTATAGTATAATCTGTGTGATTTCCGCAGGCAACCCAGCCACATTGTCTAAGGAAACACACCTTGAGCAGAGTGCACAGAATATAACGAAAATAACATCCATCAAGAACATTCAGTACATTTGAACCCAGAGCTCCATTATCCGTTTCCCAATCCTGAACTCCAATGCCTTTGAACTGCTGATGAAATGGCCTATAACGATGCAATGTCTGGGCGATCTCCGCGTAACCATGGCTACTCTATTCATGTTACTGTATAACTATACTGAATTCGATAAGGGTCCTATTGCTGTTGCTGTTGCTGTTGCTGTTGCTGTGGTAGAGGTCCCTCATTGATTTTCGGCCTCTTAGGGTCTATTGCACCACCGACGGGAGCAGGCCCGCTGCTGCCCAAGGTGGATGCATTAGTTACGTCACTCAGAGGAGGTCGTTTACCGTTTAGATTCTGTGGCCCGACGCCCCGGTTTGCAGCTGCAGCATTCGCAGCATTCCTGGGGTCGATGTTCGGTCTTGTTAATGGGCGGTAGGATGAGGTTGTCTGGCCTCGATTCATGGGAATGCCGATTCCGCCAGGGGCGCCAATTTTCCGATGCATATCTTGAGAGGGGTTGACGAAGTCACGGGTGTTGTTGGCGGCCGGGGATACGCCGGCAAGCATGGGTTTGGAAATCGGGACACTTTTGCTATGGTCGACGCCTGCTGTCTTGCGGATGGATGGGCTTTCTGCGTGGGGGTCGAATGCCGGGGCTGCATTGGCTTGTGGATTGTCTCGTAGGAGATCGACTGCTCGGGCTGAGAAAAATGAAGCGGATGGCATCGGTGAGCTTCCGGGTGGGAGCATGTCCTGGGATCTGGGATCGTTGGGATTGTGAACTTGTTCCCGTTTAATGGGCACCTGACCACCTGCACTGGGCAAGGCTGTGTCCTGGTTAGGTCTTGGTTGACCTGGTTGTATCCTTCCGCTTGGAAGGTTGTGGGGCGGGTTTTGAGCGGGTGCAGTAGGGTTTGGCCTGCCATTCAGAATAGGAGGTGGTATCTGTCTAGAGGCAGCTGCCTGGCTGAGCGGTCGTTCTGGCTTGGATGGTGTGACAATGGCGGAATTGGGTCTTGCTCCGGCTAAGGGATTATGTTGTTGAGGGCCTCTGTACGGAGCTGGACCAGTTTGACGGTTCATAGGTGTTGGTGGCTGCTGAAACCTCTGCGCATCTGGGCCTATTACTATTTCATCTGGGTTTCCAGTTGCGGCGACTCCAAAGTCCGCTTCGTCAAATAGGTCACCTGCGATCGTTAGCAAAACGTATACCAACGTAGCTTGAGTTATCGTTGCGTACTTCCAAACTCTCCATCAGCATCGAAGGCGGTATCGGCTGAGCTACTGTTGCTCTTTCCAGCATTAATCGGGCGAGGAGGGAGATCATCATCCTCCTGTATCGGCTTCGGCTGAACTGGTTCTTTTTTGATGGGTGCAAAATCAGGGTGTCGGTGAAGGTCATCCACGTCCCATCTTGCCTGGGGGCGTGTTAGCACGAGCCTAGTCGATTAACATGCCATAAGAACACATACAGGTGCTGTTTTCACTTTCGTTACTTTCGATACGTAATCTTTATCATAAATGCAATTGCCCAGCACGTTGCCGAAGTTCCTCAATGTACGTTTCAGGGCATCTGTGGTTCCTTCTTTCTTTGCTTTTTCGAAAGCTGCGGCTTTCCCTTTACAATTCTCAATGTGACCGTACCCGATGTCCTAATGTCATTCAGGATGGTTAGTGTTGGGCACCTCAGCGACATGTCATTCACGATAGGGCATACCTCATGGTAAGTCCCATCCTTCAGAGTCACCCTCACTACCACCGACAAACCCAAGCTAATCTTTCCTGTATTTGGGCTTTCGTCAACCTATTACAACGAGGGGGTTTATCAGTTGTCCGATCTCGGGTAAACGCGACAGAGATATGGTCTTATCAATAGAACATACGAAATCGATCTGAATTTGTTGTATCGAACTTGACCACCCATTGAAGCCAAAGACCTCGTTGGCAAGGTTAATGCATTTGTCTGCAGCCAAATAATGGACTCTCTGTCCCGCGGCGCCTGGCCGAGAGGAGATGTATTCGGGGCCTAGTTTCTTATCGAGCCGTGCTTGCAATGTGGCGATCTCCCGTGCTGTATACTCATTCATGCGGCGAGGACGTTCCTCAAACGGGTTTGCTGATGTAGTGTCGGCCGTGTTGGGCATCATGATGCATGTCGGATTGCCTCGATGTTGGTCGCCAACACTAGGACGCGTTAGCTTAGATCGGGATTATCAGTAGCGGTAGCCTAGCACACTGGAGTGGCTCACGCGGGCATCGTTAAGAGTTATATAGATATTACACTAGCTAAGAAAGGGTAGCATTAGAATACACCGATGCGAGTGGCGTACACAGTGGGAGATAATGACGATAGGCAGAGGTCAACTGAGCTGCTCGACGCGTGACGGAATCCAGCAGTCGCGGTATCACGTGACTCTCTATGTAGTACTATCGTCGGGGAATTGGCCCATCAAACCAGTGGTATCAATGTTCTTCTCGCCATTACTATTCTCGATAGATATCTACTCCTGTCTATGGCCGATACCTCCCACAAGAGCCCCCTCACTGGACTACGAGGCTTGCGCTGGGCGTAAGGCCAAGGTCCTTTAGTGATTCCCCGTAGACTTCAGAATCAAAAACCTTTCTTGGGAAGGTTTGCAAGAAACTCTGGACGTCAATGCCATCCTCCTGTTTGAGAGCTGCAGCAACCTCGAACAGCGTGGTCGTGACAGGAAGCGTTTTCATAATGTTTCCTTTAGGGGTTTGGAATCTCAGGCGAGTTTCCGTGTAGGCAGATGCGGGCTTCGAAGTGGGAGGGCCCGAACTTGTGGCCAATGGAGCAGAAGCTGGTTCAGCTAGAGGTGCTACACCCGCTCGTTCTGCGCGCTCCCGCTCAGCCTTCCGTCGCCGCTCTTCTTTATCGGCCTCAATCTTCGCCTTAACACGTCGTTTCGCTTCGATGTCTGCCAGCTTCTCCTTTTTCTTCTTCTCTGCTTCCTTCAGCATTTGCTTCCTCTGGAGCTCCTCCTTCGCATCTTGGGATTCTTTGGTGCTCTTTCGTCGGATTTCCTATTCGCGGAGTGGTTAGAAGGCACACCTCCAAATGTAGTCAAGGGTGGCGCATTTACTTCATTTCTCTTCTGGTCAACCTTATCCTGCTCAGATTGCACCGATCGCTTCGCTGCCAGCTTTTGTCTGAGCTCTTCCAGCTTTGCTTTCTTTTCCTCCTCCGTGAGAGGCTTGAGTTCCTCCGTAGATTCAGAGAAATCAACATGTTGAGACTTGGAGGCGTGGAATTCCGCTTGTGCATGGCTTCGAAATTTCTTTCCACAGTCGTTGCAGACCAGGCTCCTAGCTTCCTCGCCCGGTTGGAGCTCAGGACCTTCTTCCTCATCATCGTTCTTAGCCTCGGCCTTTATCTCCTCTAAAGATTTGTCTTGGTTCGCTTCGAGCCATTCTAAAGCGCCCTGGACTGATGAAGAAAAGAATGTTGTTAGTGGATACTTGGAGTACAACCAGTGGTAGTATGGCGGAACACCTACGGCCACCGCCCTTGGCAACGGCCAACTCGGCTCGTTCCTTATCAAAGCCCATCTCAATGAGCTGGTCCAAATCGGAGGGAGCCATGGTAGTGTCGTAGCAAGAGGGGTAGAGAGGTGTAGAGAGATTCGAAGTGGGATTGAGTATGGATGGGATCGGTTGGAGAAGAAGTGGGGCAGAATAAGGTACTACAAGGTCGTCGTTATCTGGTGTGCCGACGTATGGGCGGAAGCAGACAATTCGATATGCTCAGTATTCCAAGAGAAATAGAGGAATAATAACGTTTTCCGAGAGTTATCTAAATGGATGTTTGGGTGGAAGCTGTAGTAAAGAAAGGTGTTCAAGTGACGTACTTAGCTAACAAGTTAGCGGAACTGCTGGGCTGTTATTAATCACCGTCGATACGGTACTGTATGTACATACATACCACAATACCATTGTTCAGCTTTATATGGATATCTTCTTGACCGACTGAATAAACCGATATTCGTTTACACTATAAAATGTTCGATATAACTAATATTTTTCGTACATATGGGGCTCATCACCAGGGGAGGATACCGTCAGAGCAGACGAGACTGTGGACAACCTAGGGACTCTTATGAAACAGAACCCAATCTACAAAGCTGGCACGTCAGGCATTGCTACGGCTGGCAGGGGTATGTACTATGTCCTTCTCGTTATCGAGGACTAACTCAAAATAATTAAGCTACAGTGTCCTAGATCTGGGAGTCCACATCTAGTGGGGAAACCAGCACGTTCCAAAGAGTTTATTCGCAGCATCTGTAGAATATCAAACTGGACGTCAAACAGCGACACTATGCATTCTCGTAGCGGTGAGATCCAGGATCATATCTTGAGACCCGTGTCTGGCTTCATGGAGCATATCCTGACATCCCATGATGAGCGGTCAGTCAGTAGACGCAGACAGCTAACTAAAACGTTAATTAATGGCCAATGGAGCTCGCGAAGGCATCCCCTAGAAATTAAGTATGGTGAATTGCACTCCGTACGCATGGACCATAACGTTAGAGAGGAGTACTACTAATCTGGAGCAGATCACCATTTATGCAAAACATCCGTCACATGTATCGAATACCAACTAGGGAGATTTGGGTCACATTTTTAGGGTCCGAGGATGTCAAATGAGTGGATCCCGAGGGATAGGGCCAGACTTTCGAAATACTAGGAAAAAAGGGGAACCGGATGGTTCCCCTCCTGCAATGGATTGCTTCCATTATCCGCAATGAATGGTGTTCAGCACCAGGGGGGAGAGGGCGGAATCACGTCCTCCATAATGCAAGACACTCCTGGATAGTAGTAAAGTACAAGGACCAGGCGATCTCTGAGGTGAAAGGGGAAAAGAGGATAAATAGTCCGTGATGACATCACCTGACTTCCACCCGCGGGTTGGCTGAGTCAGCGCGGCCGGGGGCCAATTGGCATCGTTGCGACAACTCGAGTATTGCGCCTGAATAATAAATCAGTAGCATCACCATCAGTACAACTTACTACCTGACCAGACTAACTACATTGGTCATCTCTCAGCCTCCTAAGTCATCTGCTGTCCAGCCTTCTTGACCTCATCGGCTGCCCTACCACGCATACATTCATTCTCCATTGCTCGGATCCATTTATTAGTCCTAACCCTCCTTGTGTCTGCCTGCGCACTCGTGTCTTGTGCCTTCCAAAATGTCTATCATTCTCGAGCCTCCCGAGTTGGCTTTCAAGCGTGAGTATACCATTCGGGATTAGGCTCATTCATCATTGACTCGGGACTAAATCGTTTGGTCGCAGGCCCCTTCAATCGTGAAGTCTGCCAGATCCTACATCTCAATAATGAAAATCAGGAGCCTGTTGTTTTCAAGGTATGCGGAAGGACATTCCCCTGAGATCTCGATCGCCCACTAAAGAGTTGCTCGGTACTAGGTTAAAACGACCGCCCCGAAACAGTACGCAGTCGCTTTCTCCCCCCCCCCCAACTTCCTCCCTGCCGACAGTGATCGTGGTGTTTACTAACATGGATCAGCTACTGTGTTCGCCCCAACTCGGGACGGATAGAACCCGGAAAGAGTGTCGATGTCCAAGGTGGGTTCAGAAATAAACCATACGATGTCGGAAATCCCCGAAGGCCTAACTATTATAAAGTGTTGCTACAGGCCATGAAAGAGGAGCCTGTCCCGGATGCCAAATGCAAGGACAAGTTCCTCGTCCAAACTGTTGCGGTAACTCGTGACATGGAGTTTGCGAACGTCACTTCTATCGTACGTCCTTCCCGATCGATATTTACAGACCAATCTCCTAACGGTCTCATAGTTTGAGAAGGCTTCCAAAGCTGCAATCCAGGAGCGCAAGATCCGTGTGAACTGGTTATCCGCCGAGGACTCCCCAGCCGCAGAGCAGGGGGATACGAACGGTGTTGTACGTTTCACATTATCGTCCAGCCTTTCGCATAGGCCACCGCAGGACTAATAGCTGATTTAGAATGTGCCGGATGACGAACCCCCTGCCTATACTTCTCCCGCTGCCAACTTCCAGACCCCTGCCGTAGGAGCTGCCAGCAAAGTCGCCAACGACACGTCACCAATCCCACCGCCAGATTTCAGCGATAAGCGGAACATCTCTACCCCACAGACGAATGAATCCAAGGCTTCCTCTGCAAAGGCAGCCATTGCAAGCGCTATTCCAACCTCGGGTGAAGACCTAAGTGCACAGCTTGCCGAGGCTAAGGCGCAGATCCAGAACCTGAAAGACAGGCTGGCAGACCAAGGCTTGAGGCAAAGGAAGATCGGCGGCGAGACCGAAAAATCAGCTGCGCCGGCGTTGCAACAACAGCACGGTCAATCCGTCGAGCCCGGAGTGCCGGTGCAAATGGTGGCTGGTTTGTGCCTGCTTAGTTTCTTGATTGCGTACTTTTTCTTCTAGTCGCCGATCTTTCCCTCTTTATCTTTTCTTTTCTTACTAATCTCAGTTTTACCCCCCATGTTTGAACTATCTTGTGACAGATGAACTGTATTCCCTTTGAGTTGCTTCCGTGGCATCGTTCTTAGCCTCAGCACCCCCTTATATCGTTATTTCCCCAGTTGCACTCTACACCGCTGTTGCCTTTATTCATACCTCTTGTGTCCCTTTTCGTTTCTATTCTCCTTCTTTCTTTACTTTTTACCCTTTCCTTTTCTCTTTCATCTTCCTTTCTTCCCTCCCCCTTTTTTCTTCTTCTGTTCCTCTACACATTTCTCGATTACCTATATTCGATCATGACGGCCAAAATGGAAGCACAGAACAGCAATAGAAACAATTATTTAAAAACAAAATCCCAATTATACGAGTACTCCGATCCTGTATCATATGTTTCTAACCATCTCTGCTTGGCTTGTTAAAGGTCGATCTTTATCAAGTGTTGTTAATCGTGATCCAGTCAATACAGACATCATACGCTCGCTCCCAGTTAATGCACTTGCGTCCTCCCTTTCATTTCTTCGTATGTATTTCTACGGCCGCTCTATTTGGAATTAGATGGATCAAGTCAACACCACCAGAAGCCTAGTAACACTTATTCCCTAATAATTGCACATGGATTATACGATATCATCTCTATTCTACAATCATCAACAGTATCCGTGACCCAGTATGTAAAAACAGCAATAGTACATATACAGGTCAGCTTTGAAGTTCACTCTCCTTCCACCCATCTTCATTCTCCTCCGGCCCAGCCGACTCAGCCGAGATAGTCTCTCCGCTACGTCCGGACTTCCCGCCACCACCGACAATCCGGCCCCCCTGGGCTCTCTTTACCCGGCACCACATCCCAACATTCTTATCCAGAATAAACGTCCAGATAACCCAGACCCAGGAATGATGACAAGGCAGCGGCTCGTAGAACTCGCTCGCGATGCGATGGAGCGCATGTAATTTTGTCCAGGGTATGGCAGGGAAATCGTGATGTTCATTATGCAGACCTACGTTGTAGGTCAGGATGTTGAGGGGTCCATAGTAGGAGTATGTTTCGGGGGGAGGGATGTTATCCAAGGGATGGGGCTGTTTCTTTTCGGTGAGTTTCGTCTTCTGCTCTACAATGGACTCTGTTCCGTGGTCGACTTTGGAGAAGAAGTAATGCTCTGCGATGAAGTGGCCTGCGCATGGGTGGAGCGAGCCGGCGAGGAACGAGCTCAGAATGAAGTAAAAGAAGGGCTGTAGCGACCCGCCGCAGAATTTGGTGAGGGCATAATTGAAGGAGAGTTGGACGGCGAGGTTCAGAGCGTGGATGTAGGTGAAGGGCGGGCTGTAGATGAACATAGGCCGGACGGCGTAGAAGAGGATCTGGAAAGTACAGAAGAAAGCCTTGCCGAGGAGGGAGTCGAGAAGGAAGGCCTCAACCGCAGTTGGAAGATCGGTATCGAGGCCTGTGACGCCGAGGGATTTATGATGTGTTAGGTGGTAGGGCTAGTCGTTACATTGTCAGTGACTGATAGCTTCTAGGCGTTTACATCCTGCAGGACATACCCGGAACGCGGCGCTGTAAGGTAGCCCAATAGGGAGATTGGCAAAAATCGCCAACAGGCGATTGCCCATCGGGGACCGGAAGGCAAGGTTATGAGAAATTTCATGGATGGCGAGGAAGAGGTTCTGGTTGGCAGTTGCCCCGATCAAGTATGCGGTTGCAAGGAACCGCCAGGACAGCATCGAGGTGTCCCGGAGTAGATATGCACAGCATATCTGGAGAGATACAACACCGAACACCACATATTTGGTGAGAGGTTCGGGACCGCAGAGCTTGGTTACCTGATATAGTGAACCCATGAGATTAGCGGTGCCTCCGATGAAGCGGTGAAAGGCGTTGAACGCACCTCTGGATGAGCCTTGATAATCGCTTGCCGTCTTGAACGGTGAGGCTCTTCCGTATATGTCCAAAAAATTGGTCCTCAACCATAGACGACTCTGGCGGTGGAATTCTGACCGGCTGCTGGTCATTCTTTACATCGAGACCCTTGTTCTTCGCGGCGGACACGCGGAGATGCGGAGTATCGGTGGTCGCGACGGCGGAGGACATGATTGGGAGGGCGGGATGGGATAGGGAAAGGTGACAGATTTACGCCATGGGTCGAGAACGGGTAGAGAAGGAGAGAAAGAAGAGGAGGCAATGGCAAGCGACGATCCGAGTCTTCTGATTAATTGCAGCGACAACGTGAGTCGGAGTGGATTGTTTCCACGTGGGGCCCGGCCGGCGCCATGGATGGTTGTGACTGGCCCGATCTACCGCCTTGCCTATTCGAGAATTATGGTTTGATATCCAAGATCCATGGGTTGATCCGAGTGTATACACGAGTAGTATGTTCATGGCCATTTATAATACTATCATTGGGGTTTTCTTGATCTCATAATAATACGATACGCAAAGTAACATATACAACATCCAATCAACCGCCCTGGTTTAGTAATCGTCTCCACGGCTGATCACTTCCTTCACGTTAGGCCGAAGGACAATAGTCTGCATGGCCAGTTAGTCGGAATTCTAAGTTCCAGGTACAAGCGTGGTGCGGTCTTACATGTTCATATTGGGCAGTGTAAGAGCCCTTGACATCGCAAAGTGGCGGGTAGTCCTGCACAATTCCGGACGAAACCAGGTTGTTTAACTATGAATATGTTAGTGGGGATTTCCGAAGGCCTAGAGAGTTTATCGTCTTACTCCAAGTAGATATTTGTCCTGTCCAAGCCGGTCAAGATAACGACGGCAGAAAGGCAAAGTGCCGAAGTTCTTGTTGATCACATTCAACAAATTCTTGGCCGAGGAGAGACGCAAAGGCACCGGAGAGGTATTAGGAACCAAAGCATAGTGGGAGGTTTCCATCTATCAGTAAGTTAGTTCCGTCTAGACTGACAATATCGACCAGTAGTACACATACGTCTTCTCTCACGTAGCCCTTTCCGGTACTACCGAAGGTCTCAATGGCGAAAACTTCACCTTCCTCCATCTTGGTCTGGTCACCACCCTTCACGATCGGAACACTCTTGCCTCCATGAATGACGTGCTGTTCAATGTTGTGGCCGTTGAGGTTCCTAATACACTTCACGGGGTGCATAGTCCCGTTGAGTTCAACTTCGTAACTTTCCATGGCCTCCTGGATAGCGGCACCAATATCGCTCATGCGGACGTCAATACCCGCTTCCTATATTCAGTAATCAGCAACATCCCTATTAACCTAGGAAGTTAGAGGTATAGAAGGCATACGCGAATTCCAGTATTGGTAGCATCCTTAACGGCCTCAAGTAGTGGATCATAAACTGGATCGAAAGCCACAGTAAAAGCACTGTCGACAATGCGGCCGTTAATGTGCGCGCCGAAGTCGACCTTCATCACATCTCCTTGCTGCAACACCATCTTGTTGCCCGCATTAGGTGTGTAGTGAGCGGCACAATGGTTGATGCTCAGACCGCAGGGGAAACCCATACCACCCTTGAGGTTGTCACCTTCCTCAAGACCCTGGTGGCCAGTCAAAGCACGCACCGAATCCTCGATGCCCTCAGCGATCTCCGTCAAGGTCTGGCCCGGCTTGATGGTTTTCTGCGCATACTGACGGACCTGACGGTGCACCTCGGCAGCCTGGCGGTACTCCTGCAGGAAATCATTGTTCATGCGGTCGAGATAACGCTTTTCTTCGTTGGTCGTGCGGTACGAATTATCATTCTTGTACTCGACGATCTCGCCCTCGGGATATTGCTTGCCGGCGAAGAGCTGAGACAGAGGGACCCGCGGGGGTTCGCTCTGAACCTTGGCACCACCCTTCTTCTTCTTCTTAGACTTGCGCTTCTTCTTTTTCTTAGCGGCTATACATCACCGGTTGTGGTCAGCGGGGTTCCGTATTCCTTGGCCGGGAGTATCTTGGTTGGTTTGGCGCACCTCCGTTGGCTCCGCCTTCGGGAGCAGCGTTTCCTTCATCAGCGTCGTCATCCGAATCGTCCTCCGCCTCTCCGGCTTCTGCTTGACCCACGGTAGGGGCGTCCGCTTTAGCGGCGCCGCCCTGGCCGTTCACTGGGACAGGACATATCTTATCAGTTCAAGTGCGATCAACAATGTAAGAACGGGGCAAGCACCTACGGTCAAGCTTCTGCAGATCCTCGCTAGCCTGAGCAGCCATCATGAAAAGGATTTAAAGTATGAAAATCCGTTGGCGGGATGCAAAAACCTGCGTTGGGGGGGCAGAGAAATCTGACGGCGGAAAAAAAAGAGGGGAGCGGCTGCATTCGGTATTTAGTATCGCAGGGTTCCAATGCCAAGACATACTGCCTTCTACTATCATATAACCAGGCATAGCTGGATACACCCTCGCCACCGTATCAATGCGGGAGAATTGCTCTTGCCTTAGGTACTACTAGTATTTGGTTCCCCTGTGATTTGAATATGACGGAAGGCACGTTGGTCAAGAGGCTTGCCCTGTGGTGTAACTTGGTATTGGGTTGGTTCGAGACTCAATAGCAAATTGTCGCGTGCACAGCTAGTTTTTATACCAACGCTATGATATACTTATATATGTGTGTGCATGTTGTACGTATGTATGTATTTTTTTCGGTCTAAGTCCTCTGCAGGTGTTCAATTACGGTCGTGCCGAGAAAACCCTGCGTTTTCCAACCATAGTCCAAATTACATGGACGAGACACACGGTATTATACAACTAACGATAGTATGTAGACAAGTCTAACACTTCAAACGGTTAAAATAAAAGATAATAAACATACTAGTACTAATAGCAATCATACGCTAAAATAGCTTCTATACATTAAATGGACGTACATATCTTTAGTCCATTCCTATTTGATCGGCCAAGGTTAGATTATCAGATAACACCAATCAGCCGATGACGCAGCACCTCCGATGAGCGGCGGAATTTCCTCCCTCCCATACAGTACTTCCGCTCCCAATCTATATCCAATCCACCCAACTGCCTATTATTTCGCCTCCCAATCGCCCGTGATCTCTCCCCCAACTGCAAAACTATCCCTATCTTCCAGCATTAGGATCGAATGACAACACAAACACGTCTAAAGACATGCTATTTCCTCGCGTGAGGACCCCCGGTGTTCGACTCCGGACTACGCATCCACACACACAACATTGGAACCATATTCACCCCACGTCATACGCCAGTACAGCTTCGTTCTCGACATCGCCAAATAGACGCGCAGCAAGTCGTGAACCGAACCACTATGAAATCCTCGAAGTGCCCATAACGGCGTCAGCAGCGGAGATCAAAAAGTGCGTATACCCCCTCCACACCACCAGGTCTCCTGGCCTCAGTCAGACAATACATGCATACATACATACATACACACACACATAATACGATAATATCGCATTCACTAAACCCCATCCTCAATCACAATCCCGTCAATATGAAAGAAAATGACGAACAATTAAAACCTCCAACCCAGAAAATTCTACGCTCTCTCCCTCCGCCACCATCCAGACCGCAACCCCAACGACCCAAAAGCCTCCTCACGCTTCGCCCGAATCTCCTCCGCCTACGAAATACTCGGCAATCACACCAAACGCGCCGCCTACGATCGCGAACACGGAATCATAGCCCACCATTCAACACACAGCACTGCAAACCCTGGCCAACACCCTATGGGCAGCTACAGTAGCTACAGCGCAAACCTACACACAAAAGGGGCATCATACGCTGGATCACGGCCAGCTAGCGGACTGAGTAAACGCCGGGGACAGTTTCGCGGGCCGCCGCCCAGTTTCTATGCGCATGGGGGGTACGGGAATAGGAAAGCTCCCGGGGGAGCGTCGTCGTCTTCGGCTGCGGGCGGCTGGAGCGAGCATGATCCTACGGCGTTTATTTATCGAAACCCTGTGAATCATTTCAATGCGCCGGGGCATTATAAGACGCAGTCAGCTGAGGATGCGAGACGGAAGGAGAGGCGGTCGAAGGAGATGGGTTCGGAGCTGAATGATCAGTATATTGGAAGTCGCGGGGATTTCGCTATACGGTTTATCATCGTTTGCGGCATTCTGGTGGGCGCTGGATCTATGACGGGGTTCATCGGTTGGCCTGGGGAACGGGGCACCAAGGCTAGCGGTAGTAAACCGGCTCGGCGGAAAGAAGAGTGAGTCGAGAGTATTCTATGGTTTGGCATATAGAAAGTGTTGTCTTCCTAGTTCTTTATGCACAGTACTTTCAAGAGCTAGGGGTGTGATTCCTTTAATAAACCATATACCCCAGATTGAATCGTGCACGGTCGTGGCTCCCCCCCCCACAGCTGCATTTCCCTTGTATGGATCTTAGTACGCTTGTCTAGGTGGATGGGGCATAATGCAGCCTGTGCTTATCAACTTTGCTTCGAATAATGGTCACCATAGCAGACATGTCAGAACGAACGCTTCAAACAACCTGACGTTGGCTCTACAATCGAGGGAGGCTGGGTCCTAACTGATATACATTGATCATGGATAGATACGGTACACGATTAGTAAGGTTGGCATTTGATAACACTCGCTCGTTCCCAGCGGAGCCTGATATATATGTACCCATTCCGGGTACAGCTATATGGCATCTAGAAAGCAACCATAGATAGAAAAAGTCTAATATTATTCACAAATTGCTATCCTCAGGCGAGCGGAACACGGTATTATAGGCGTGGAGAGATAGTACAGAGAGACTCGTTTAAGCCTCGAAGGTGAAGCTGGCACCGACCTTGTGGGCAGCCTGGTTCAGGTTCTGGGTATCGAAGGAAGCACCGAGGCCAAGGGTGACACCAGGGCGGAGCAGAACGTTGTAAGCCAGAGCGGCGACACCACGGTCGTTGATCTTGGCCTATTTTGTCACTCATTAGTGTTGTTTCACCTCGCATAGACACAAAAGGTTCGCATACCTTGGCGAAGGAAGAGGGGTCGAGTCTGTACTTGCTGGCAACCTCAAGGCCGACGGAGTTACCGGTCTTGGAGTCCCAGGTGGCCTTAGCACCAGCCTCAACCTGAGCGTTGACGCGGTGGTAGTAGCTGGCAGCGAAGACGGACAGGTTGTTGCTAGCGGTGATGGCAGCGGTGTACTGGGGAACGCTGTAGCCAATGGCAGCGGAGTACTTGGTGATGGCAGCCTTCTGGACGTCGTAGCCACCCTCAGCACCAACGAGGAAGCCCTCGTGGCCAAGAACAGCGTCGAAGTTGGCGGAGGGGCCGTTCAGGAGGTCGAAGAAGGCACGGGCGTGCAGGTTGGGCTGCTTGAAGTGAAGGTTGACCTTAGCACCCTTGGACTGCTTGGAAGGCTGGTACTGGGTGAGAATCTCGGCCTTGAGACCGTTGGCAATGTTGTTGTCGAGCTCGAGCTTGGTGTCGAGGGCGTTGGCAGTGGTCCATGCCTGGGTGAGGGTGAGGCCTGGGCGGGGACAGAATATTAGCAAGACTGCATGATGGCTAATCCTAGATGAAAGAAAGACTTTGACATGCTGAGACAAGGCTTGGCCGCATGAAAATGAAAACATGGACCGAGCGTCTCGCAATAATGGGCAATTGGAATTGGGTGGTTTGCGTATGGGACGTTTGCGTCTTTTGGGGCCTTTACCAGTAGGCTTGTCGACATACTTGGCCTCGAGCTATAAGATTGATCGATTAGCATCATGTCCTGTAACCTAACATTACTCATAGTATGCAAGCTATGAGACTTACGGAGCCAGCGATGGGACCCTCGTGGGCGTTCTTGCCCTTCACGTTGAAGGTGACGCCATTGGGAGCCTTGGACTTGACCTCAAGGCTGGCTAAAAAAAATCAAGTTAGCTAGGTTGCGCGCGAAAAGGAGTGTGACCACCAATTGTAGGTATAACAGAAAGACACACATACCAGCACTGGTGTGGTAGAAATCCTTGTTAAGGAGCTATTGCGCAGAATATTAGCACGAAAATCCTTCCGGCAAGCTGTTTGTCGTCGATTTTTGCAAATCAAAGGAAACCACAAGAGCATACATCGTTGGCCGCCTTGGCGATGTCAGAGAAAGAAGCAGGAGCAGACATTGTGAATGTGAGAGGAGTGGTTAACGATAACGTGGGTATCGTAAAGGTAATATAATGGTTGAAGGGGAACGGAAACGGTGAGGGGAGAAGAAGGAGGAAAGCGATGGGGAAAAGCGAGGTTGAAGGTTGAGTCCCAAACAACGAAACCACGGGAAAAGCCGCTCTCTCTGATTGGCTGTTGCTCGGTTGCCGGTAAATTCCGCTAAGTCTCGTGACGTTGATGCCTGGGGCGGCTATGCCGTCATCTGCAACCGGAACGTTTCATCCAATGGCTGTATATACTATCAAGGTTTACTTCTTCACCTTCCATGAGCCACCGCATGTCAACTGCCCAGAAGCCTCCCAATTATTTTATCTATAAGTTATAACAGAGTTACAACCTGGTCTATTTTGAGGGCCCTAACCTAAAAGAAGGCATGATTATACAAGAGCTAAGGGGAACAGGAGCCGTTTTGAAAGGGATTTCATAACCCTCCGCGCTGTTTGGGGCGGAAAAAACACTTTTTGAGACACGTCTCTAATGCATGAGTCTATCCCAAACACCCGACACAAATCGCAAGCATAATTATTTAAACATTTACTCAACATGCTTGTACTTGGCGTTGTGAGTCGCGATAGCTCTGGTGTCAAACGTTAGCATTTGCCTTTTGAGGTAACGAACAATCAAAAAGAGAGGCGAATCATTGCAGGCTTACCTTCCACTAGGGTCGGTCTGTTTCGACCATGTCGGCACCCAGCGCTCAACAGTAGATGCGCAGGAGGGTGGGAAGTGCTCATCGAACATCATACGGTACCAGTAACTGCTATGGTCAGTTCCTATTTCTCACTCATGATTCTGTAAGGTGCAGGACATACGCTTCCTTGGTATCAGGGATATCGTTGCCCCATTCGGGCTTGGGGTTCTTCATCATTTCATCAGTGACATGAAGTTCAGCATGGTCCTTCAGACCGTCGATCCAGCTGTAGCCAACGCCGTCGCTGAACTGCTCCTTCTGGCGCCAGAGGATCTTCTCGGGAAGGTATGGCTCGACATCGGGCTCATCGGTGGTATCGAATGCTTTACGCAGGATGTACTTCTCAATGCGCTCCTTGGTGATCATCTTATCCTGAGGATCAACGCCCATGGCAGTCTCAAGGAAGTTCTTGTCCAAGAACGGCACACGGGCTTCCAGACCCCAGGCAGAAGTCGACTTGTTCGCTCTGAGGCAGTCTGCCAGGTGCAGGGCCTTGACTCGTCTCACAGTCTCCTTGTGGAATTCGTCCTTGTTGGGGGCAGCGTGGAAGTAGAGGTAACCACCGAAGATCTCGTCACTTCCCTCACCACTCAGAACCATCTTCACACCCATCGCCTTGATCTTGCGGCTGAGGAGATACATGGGGGTAGATGCACGGATGGTAGTCACATCATAAGTCTCCAGGTGGTAGATGACATCGGAAAGAGCGTTGATACCATCCTCAACGGTGAACGTGAAAGCGTGGTGCTTGGTTCCAAGGTACTTGGCTACTTCAAGGGCAGCCTCAGTATCGGGAGCACCGGGCAGACCGATGGAGAAGGAGTGCAGCTGTTGGAATGTGGTGACGGTGGAGAGCTCGTTGCTGTCATCAATACCAACCAGATCGGATGAGCCAGTCTGGTTCTGGATGGCTACCTTGGCAGCCTCCTGCATGCGCAGAGTCTCACGCTGAGCAATAGAGGCGACCAAGCTGGAATCCAGACCACCGGACAGCAGAACACCGTAAGGAACCTCAGCCATCAGACGCTTCCGAACAGACTTCTCCAAGGTGTGACGGAGGACTTTAAGGTCGACAGGAGTCGTGGGAACGTTAGTGGGATCCCACCACGTAGGCTGGAAATAACGAGTCATAGAGCCGGTCTTCGAGTCGAAAATGTGGCCAGGAGGGAAAGCCTCGATCTTGTCACAAACTGGGTGCAGGGACTTCAGCTCCGAAGCGAAGTAGACAGCTCCCGGAGTCTCCGAAGACCAGCCGATGTAGAAGCTAGTGACACCAATGGGATCGCGTGCCGCAACAACCCGGTCTTGCTTTCTGTCGTAAAGAACCCAAGAGAACATGCCGTCAAGGTACTTAGGGGCATCCAGACCATGTTCCATGTACTGAACTCGTCAGCCTCCATAACGTCACTGTTTGCGGCTACAATGGTCCTTTCGCACGTACCAATGGGATAACAACTTCGCAATCCGAATGTGTCTTGAAGTCATATTGGTTCTTGAGGTTCTTTCTGATGATGCGGTGGTTATAGATCTCTCCGTTGACGGCCAGAGCGAGGGAACCGTCATCGTTCACAAGGGGCTGAGCACCAGAGTCTGAAAGGTCTTAGCAGGACACCTCGCTTGCGAAGCTTGGCAGGGCACATACCGACACCGACGATACACAGACGCTCGTGTGCAAGGACTGCGATGCGTTAGCTTTTAGTTCCTGGGGGGACATTCCTTGTAGACATGGAGTTGACTAACTGGTCTTATCAGCAATGTAGTTTCCGCCTGTTATTTTCTCAGTATAGTATTCACTAAACCCTTCCACATATATGTGACTCACTCCAATCGGGTCCACGGTGGCGCACGCTGGCAACGAAATCAGTCTCAATTCTGCTGTCCGACAAAAGAGAAGGAGCACTTACGCCTTGGCCATGCGCAAAGCCGTAGGCTTAAATTTTTGCACATCAGGGTGGCTGCCGAGGGTAACTACTGTTAGCGACTTGATCCGGAAAGGACCCCATACCCGCTGCTAGGGTTTCGCGGGGGGGAAGGGCAGGGATCAAGCAGAAGCGATAGGGACATACTTATAACACGCGAAAATGCCACACATGATGACGACGAGCAATTGGCTCACTAGGAAAAGTAACAAGCAGCAAGATGACGAGAAGAAGAGAAGGGAGAGGAATTGCCACGCGTGCTTTCCGGGAAAAGTATAGGGTATGGGGAAGAGTGACTTTTTAAAAATGCGATTTCCGGCGGGGCGGAATCGAGGGGCGATTTCGGCCACAATTTATTCAATCTTTTTTGACGGACGTGACTCACTGATAAGATAACCGCTCTGGGTCTGGATCCGGTGCCCTCCAATGACAGCCTGATTATTCCATGACTACTACTCCTTTCTCTGAAGGTTCTTCGTACGTTACAGAACTGACCAGATACTACTTCCTTGTACCAGGGGAGGTATTGTGTAATTCACTGGAGCACGTCTGGAGCAGACCAACTCGACCCCTTAAACCAATTCCTCCCCATCGATCAAGCGGATCATTCTACCCCACATACTAAGTACGGAAGTGTCAGATCACCCGTTGTAGGTAGAAATGACCATATGATATGCGAGAGCACAGTGATTGCACGATGCCAGAGAAGACCCGAAGAACCGGGCTGGGTCAGAGAAGAAAGGAACAACAAAGCGATTCTAAAAACGCCGTCCATAACCACCCATTTTGTGAATGCTAAGACGCCATGCTCGCTAGAGGGAGTAAAAAAAACAAAATATCGTGATCATAAATGTCAAGAAAGCGATGCGCGCATGCGCCATCAGTCGTCACGGCCAGAAAAATGCACAACCCGTCCTTCTAGCTTTTCATTCTCCCCTATCCCTTCACAAGAAACGAGAAAGACGCTGCATAGTGAGATGCCTGCCAATGTGAAACCACTCCCACGTGGCTATCTAGCAGCCATCAACGTCCGCCTCCGTTCATAATGCGCCATGACCGTGTAAGAAATTTGGTGAAGAAAGAGGACATATGTGGAAAGAAAGAACTAAAACCCCGAAAACGTAATCCAGTCCGCCGTAGAAGGGAGCGTGGCTCAAAGCGTTGGGTTCTCCTTCACAACTTGTCTCACCCGTTTCTCGTATGCCGGCCGATCCTTCTTGAACAGATTGTATGCCTCCGCCTGTGCAGGCGACTCCGGGTTGGGGTCATCGAGCAGGTCCTGGATGCCGAGCAGAATTTGTTTAATGGTGATGGCAGGTTTCCAGGCTTCTTCTTCGTTCAAAATTGAGAGGCAGACGGTGCCTGAGGGGTAAACATTTGGGTGAAACAGAGGAGGGACGAATTTGCCTGTTGTAGTGAATATTAGCTATCCGCCATGAACCCAGGAAGGTCACCGTTGCTTTCCACCCCGGTTTGTCTTCAACGGAGGGTGGTAATACGTACACTTTGGAGGCTTAGTCGGGTATTCTTTACGAAAATAAGTTAGCCAATCCCAGTTCGGTCTTCGCGACATCCGAGAAGTGGATAGCAACGTACCGTCTGGAAAAGTAACATCAAGCTTAAAAAGTCCTCCGTCCCAGAGAGTCTGCGCCTTTCCAGGGATACCACATTCCCAGCGCTTCAAATCCAACACACCCTGAGGGGTTCGATAAGGCTTCGCATAGAATCCGAAAGGATGATCGCGTCGCCACTGCTTCCTGTACAGACGCAAGATCGCAATCAGTATCTGAGAAGAGCCAACCTGAGGCAAGGCCGTAGCCGAGCGCCAAACAATTCTATCACATACCTTTCTTCCGTCAGGCGATTCAGACACAGAGACATCTTGATCGTTGGAGTGGCGCAAAAAGTAGTGAATGGTGAGAATCTACCAGAGAATAAATAGAAGCCAAGTGAAGAGTGGGCAAGCTGGATCAGCTGTAGAATGGTATCAGCGGGGGATGAGTGGGTAATAAAGAAGTAAGAAAGGGTAAAAAAAGAAAATAGATAAACTGGGAGGGAACACAAAGGTGGGAATGAGAGACGCTATCACTGAATCTGTGGAAGTCAGTGAATGTTCCAAAGTACCTCTTAGAAACCCATCGTCTTGATGCCCCACAGCCAATCGCTGGCCGGCCCTACTGAGATTGACCTGGGTCACCTGACCACCACGCATTACATGCATAACAAGTGTACTCCATAACGGAATACCAGTAGTAGTAGGTACTAGCAATAGGAGTTGGCCAATGCCATATCTACTAGTATTGATCTATAAAGAGCTCGGAGGTTACACAGGGGACAACCTCGCTTTTCCTTATTGTCAATCAACCTCTCCAATAATTTGACTCAGAACAAGGCGCATCATGTATTACCTGATACCAAGCCCTATGTCTCCATATAAATCCCTGCTACCATTGTTATGCCTTGAGAAAGGTCTTACATCACATTGGCCGGTGATTTGGACTGGTGCTCTTATCAAACGCGTCGCAAGGCGAGGGAAGCAAAGGTAGAAGGAGCGCCTATGTGATGAGCAGGCTGATTCCTATCACTAAGACCAGTAGCAACACGGCTGAAGAGAGCTTTGACTTTCATTGATAAATGCTGCAAAGCCTCAGGAGGCGCAATAGACTTGTTTGGTATGGTTTCTCTCTCACCACCCTTCTCGTGACACATGGTTCTGATGTGCCAGGTGTTATTGAAAAATTGAACCAAAGAAATTTGGTGCCCGGTGTAAAGCAGACAAAAATTAGATGCTTATCGGTATCATTCATTAATTCTATTCCTTTGTGGTTCCTATTCATATAATCCTTGCTCAAATTTCTGTGTATCAAAGAACCGAGCTGTGATTGGATTCCCGTTGAATATTCGGCCCTCCAAGGCATTGACAGCCTGAATGGAAGAAATACATTAGTAAACCAACAACCAAATCACTCGGTTAAAGACCCTTACTCTTAGAGCAGATAGCTGATTGGTGAATTTGACAAATACCGGAACTGGAGGGGCCGAGCCGCGGGCAATGAAGACGCGTTCGACATTTCCATACTGTTCAGGTTAGAATTGCATAGTAGCACCAGAGGAGTAGGAGCCCACCTTCTCAGAACACTCATCCCCGATCTCTTGCATCAAGCCCCCATCCTGATCGCCTTCTAGTTCTGCCTCCACATCCATGCCGTCTAACATGCCCTTCAAGACAATGACTTCGCTCATTTGACCAAACTTCCCTTCGTCTTCTTTCTTCCTAGAACCACCAATAATTTTACCCCTACCAGCGGGAGTGGCAAAGCCACCACCCTCCGAGTCTGGCCGCTTCTTCTGTTTCTCGACCTTGACCTGCAATGGGTTGACAATACCCGATCCCGTTGCGCCCAAACCAGAACCTTTTGTCCAACCATACTTTTCAAGCAGACGCTGAGCAAATCCCTTCTGTCCGGGTCGGAGTGAGCGCTGACCCTCCTCTTCACCTTCACCCTCACCTTCCATTGGTTGCTCCTTAGCGAAGACTTCCTCAAGCTCTGCTTCTGATGCAGGTATATCTGCCGGTGGGGGAGGTAAAGTATAGCGGACGGGTGCACGAGAAATAGTTGCAGAGGCAGGTTGCAGCGCTTCTAGCGGCCGTGGTTGTGGCGGTGGTGCAGATTCTGCTGTAGGCTGGGCTCCAGCCGACATCTGAATGCGACGTAGATAAGCATCTCCACCCGTAGGGTCATCTGTAACAGGCGCTGAAGATGCCTCTGGGGGAGGTGGTGGTATATAGTCGGTCATAGCCGTATCGGCTAGGTTTGTTTGCAGTTGTGCACGCCGGGCAAATGCCTCCTCTCCGGAAGCAGCATCTGGTATATCAGCGGGAGCGGGTGACATATCGTTGAGGTTTGGAGGTGGTGCGAAGCTGCTCGGAGGGGCGAATTGTCCTGTAACAGTTCAGCCGTGGAATCACTATCACTATAGGAAAACACATACGGTTCATTGGTCTTCCATAGTCCTCATCACTATACGAATCTCGGCTCGGAGATCGCACTATGCGATGTGCGTAGAGGCGATCTTTCCACTCGCGAACTTCGGCTATCTGCTCATCGCTGTGCTTATATTCTTCGTAACTATTAGGCCGCGACGGGTCGTAGATATCGTCCCAGTCCTGAGCAAATTCCCGCGTATCCTTATTCTTCTTGCGCTTCTTGCGCCCACCCCGCTGCCTTTTTGGGCCAGCATAGAAGTCATTGACATCATCCTCTTCGGTATTAGCCCAATCTGCAAGAGTAGTCTTAGGAGCCGCTGCCGGTGCGGGAACAGGAGCTGCCTTCGGTAAAGCTGGTTTCGGTTTTGGTTTCTGCGCAGATAGTTGGGGTCTTTTCGTAGGCTGAAATCGGAGAGAAGCTGATCGCCAAAACCAGAAGAACAAAGGACAAGTGAGCAATCAGATCAAACAAGAATACATGAAACTGTCGGTCATGAGGAGGGTTATGGTCTACCGGCATTGAGCTGTTGTTTCTTGGCAGCTAATTCATCTGGCTGCGACTCGCCTTCGGAGGCTTGCTTGAAGACGACCGGGGCGCGAGAAATCGTCCCGGGAGAGTTATCGGCGGCTGGATCAAGCAGATTTGCATAGAGCGAGAGCATGCCCCCGGGCTTCGAGGGGGTGTTCTCAGAAGCCATGAGTCCGGTTGATGTTATAGACAAGTCAACCGAATAAATAGAGTGACGATAATTGTATCGGAGAAGTTGGAGACAAGTACTATCGTGCGGAGTACAGCTTGAGCAACTTGTTTGCATCCCATATCACTTGACATGTGGATCATGTAGCTTAGTCATGTAACGACACCCACCCTTATTGGATGCTCTCCTTCCTCCTATCATGGTGAAGGAACTATAGCTACTAGTAGTAGGGCCGTCCGGTACTTGATCAGATCACTCAACTTAAAGATTGCTACGGATTGAATCATGATAGCATCGAGTTTAGGTTTTGCATGTCCTATTTGGCGTTAAATGTATGCCTCTTGTGTTGACCTGACTTCAAGAGGTCACTCCGAGCTGAAGGCCACTAAACCACTAATCTTAAGCGCATATACTTGCAGTTTCGAAGAGGAATCGACCTATATCCAGGGTTTATAAAATACTGGGAGATTGGCGCCAGGATAGGGTCAGCAACAATTCAGAGCAATTTCTATAAGAAGTGTGAATAGCGCTGGAATGGCTTCTCCGCATAGAGAGCGCGATAACAACCACCATCCCGGTAAACAATCGACCCCTTGGCCGCTGTCGTGCTTAATATGCGACGAAACATTCAAGGTGCAATTGAATCTCTTGCGGTCACCTCATTGCACCTCGCATTTGCGCGTATGCTGCTCTTGAAGACCATTAGCGGGATTTTGAAACCGGCGGTTCTTTCCAGGCCACGTTCTGGTTACACACTGGAGGCTACATCCTCGAAGCTGCAACTTATATGCGGAGATTAAAGATTGGAGTCGGATTGCTCATTAGCACTCCTCCAGGCGGCCGTATCCGACGATAGCTCTCTCTTCAACCGGTTGAACGGGTATCGGTCAAAGTAAGGGGTTGTTAATAGCTCAAACGCAACAGACTGCACTCACAGACAGAAGTTAGCATCATAGGTGGCGGTTGAATCTATTGAGCAACCTTGAGAAGACAACAACATAATGGAAAGCTGCCAGCAGCTACCAAGTATTGCTGTATGTACATACATAGACAGCCATTCAAGACATTACTCAGCCCGGAAGAAAACGGCAACCCCTAACTAATTAGTCATGTGGGGGGTGGAGAACCCCCCTAACAATGACGATAATCCCCGAGGGCGGATCGTGCCATGAATCGTGGAGGCGATCGGTCATATCCGTTGCCTAACTACCCATTACCGGCCGAGAGGAGCTGAGCTATGTCTATCTACTCCTCCTGTACTCCCTGGGATGGTAACAAAGTGACACTCGACTGACAAAATCGTACAACTTCCATTAGTCCACGAATCGGAGATCTACGTCCTTAATATCAATCCCTGAAGCCAAGACATCATCAGTGTCTTGTCAGATCCACCATGACCACCTTAGCGCAGTCCTTCTCCTCTCGGAGCACCGACATTGCTGTTGTGGTCCCCAAGAGACAGACCCCCCTGTCCCCTACTCTCAGCATCACCTATCAACAGCTGCACGCTCATGTGGCCGAGTTTCAAGCTAAATTGGCCAAGCTGGGCGTTGGTCACGGAGGTGCGGTGTCCTTGGCGCTGGCAAATTCGTACGAATTCATCGTCGGGTTCTTAGGCGCGTCCTGGCAGCGGGCGATCGCCGCTCCACTGAATCCCGCTTATAAGCAGGAGGAGTTCGAGTTCTATATCGATGACCTTAGTTCGACGTTAGTGCTGATCCCTAAGGGATCGTATGCACAGAATGGCCCCGCCGTGCGAGCTGGAAGGAAATACAATGCTGCGATTGCGGAGTGCTACTGGAATGGCACAGAGGTGGTTTTGGATGTGAAGGAACACGGAAAATTGGCGGGTAGCGCGGGTGCGACTGTCGGACAGGCTCAGCCAGACGATATTGCTCTCGTGCTTCATACAAGTGGCACGACCGGCAGGCCCAAAGCTGTAGGTTTTCCCGTTCCGGCAAAACTATAGATACTGACATGGAATAAGGTTCCACTCACCCACAAGAACCTCACCACAACCATGAGTATGTGCCCGGATAGCATACAATGAGCAGTATTAACCATGCCGTAGGGAACATCCGGGACACGTACGCCCTAACGCCGAAGGATCGTACGTATTTGGTGATGCCTCTTTTCCATGTCCATGGTCTCCTAGCAGCATTCCTGGCGCCTCTATACTCTGGAGGATCCGTCATTGTACCTCCGAAGTTCTCGGCCCATGAATTCTGGTCAGACTTCGTAGCCTATAACGCGAACTGGTACACAGCTGTGCCTACTATCCACCAGATTCTGCTTAAAACCCCCTTACCCAACCCCATCCCCAATATCCGCTTCATCCGCTCCTGCTCCTCACCATTGTCCCCCAAAACCTTCCAGGATCTGGAAAAGACGTTCAACGCACCAGTTCTGGAGGCATACGCAATGACAGAAGCCGCTCACCAGATGACCAGCAACCCTCTCCCGCCCGGAAAGCGCCAGCCCGGCAGTGTCGGCCTCGGACAGGGCGTAGAAGTCAAGATTCTCGATCAGGATGGAAACGAGGTTCCCCAGGGCAAGGAGGCCGAGATTTGCGTACGCGGTGAGAATGTAACCAAGGGGTATTTGAACAACCCATCCGCCAACAAATCCTCGTTCACCAAGGGCGGGTTCTTCCGCACGGGAGACCAGGGTAAGAAGGATCCGGACGGCTACGTGATCATCACCGGCCGTATCAAAGAGCTCATCAACAAGGGCGGAGAGAAGATCAGTCCCATTGAGCTGGACAACACGCTCCTGCACCACCCCAAGGTGGCCGAGGCTGTGTGCTTCGCCATCCCCGACGAGGGACACTATGGCGAGGACATCGGTGCCGCAGTGGTCCTGAAGGGCAACAACACCGCCACGGAGGACGAACTCAAATCGTTCATGGCAGAGAAGCTGGCGAAATTCAAGACTCCCAAGAGGGTATGTACTACCTGTCCAACACATCCCCACATACCACAAGAATGTCACGTTGACTGACACCCGATCACTAGGTCTGGATCGTTCTCCAGATCCCCAAGACCGCGACAGGCAAAATCCAGCGCCGCAAGGTTGCAGAGGCGATGCTGACACCCAAGGCAAAGCTGTAAATCGGATCTTACATCCACTCATATATTCATATATATATGTACAACAGACAATACACACATTCGTATTGGACATGTACCTATCTACACATATACAATCGTAGTACCCCAATCCCTCACATAAAACCAACTAAATCCAATCCCCACAAGATCTAAGGAAGAGCCTTGTCCCCAACTCTAACGGCACACATAAACTACACCAACCGACATCAGCCCCAGGGATCCAAGAAGGAGAAGCCGAACCCGAAACCACAACAGCGAAAAACGAAAGAGAAAAGAAAGGGAAATCAACATACCGGAATAACCTGCGCCTTCTCAACGTCCCACACACCACTTCGCGTATAGATATCCTTACTGATCAACTCCCTCACCTCGGCCTCATTCTCGGCGACAACGATCAAAGCGCTCCCGTTAAAGGGAGGGGTCTCGCCCGGGACGGGGTGAGAATCCAACGTTCCACCTGTAGATGACGCCGCCGCCCCCCCGCGCCGTCAGTTCTCACGTCCATATCGGCCAATTGGAAAGGGATGATGATTAAAGGGTATGGAGGGGGAACATACCGCCGCAGACGATTGAGCCATTCTGGACAAGAGGCTTTACCCCTTCAAGGTGTTGACTGTGTGTGAGCGGATGTCCACGTTAGTGGTTGTTTTTTGAGATTCCATGGTGGGGGGGGTTGGGCGGACTACATACTTGCGGACTTCCAGACGCTTCTGCAGCGCGTCCGGCTTGTCGGGGACGAGGCAGATGAATTCCTTTTTGGCGGACATTTTTTTTTTTCTATTTTCTTTTTTTTTCCTTTTTCGTGTTTCTCTTTTTGCGGCTGGCGTCGGTGGAGGGGGATGTCTCAGATCGGTGATCGATAGAAGGATTTAGAGCTGATGTCTTAGTGGGAGGTCGGTATTTATGGAGGTCGAAGTGGGGGGGGGGGATTGGATTGTCTTGCGGGGAAACAGAAACAATTGGATCCATATTGATTGGTTATCTGTTCTATCATCTCAGATTACTATCCATACTACAGTCACTCTCGACAGATTTCTTTCGTCTTTACATCACACGTAGTTGCATTTTCAAATTACGGATCAGTTAACCTTCGCAATCATAACAGCCCGACAAATTGTAGCCTATATATGTATGTACATGGACGCCAGGCACCGTTATGCCCTGGTTCTGGGCTCGCCGACGGCAACCGCCTCGCTCCCATTTTTCAAGACATGGCTCAGTCCTAACTGAGCTGTGTCCCTCAGAGATGTTGATCATGCGGATAATAACAGCCACCCAGTGGGTGCGAGCACCAGGCCACGGCAGACTGGAAATCCCCGTCACAATCTTAGGAAACCCTGCCGGGGCAGTAGGCTGGCTTGCACAGTCGTCAAGGAGAACAAGGCAACACCAGTAATACAAGCGTAAAATCACCCGTTCACTCTATGAGCGTCGACACCGCTGAACACGTTCCCCCTAGCGCCAAAAATAGAAAAGAAACAGCACGATCCCTAGAACGCGACATGAAGAAGGCTAATTACCGGAACCATGAGATGTCCGTTTCAAACGTCCAAGTGGGGGCAAATGGTAGAGGCAAAAAGCACAAGTATCAAGAAGGAAAAGAATCCCATGTTGTGAACCACGGACATAAACGGGGAAAAGGGTATTAAAATCTTGGAGAAAATAAGAACCGAAAGCCGCCAGTTCGGTGAAGAAAGGACCAAGTCCAGGCACGCGCTTAGTACGCTTTACGTTCTCCAAGGTTGCCGGGTTTTTCATCAGTGTCGATATGCCACACCACGTAATTAGGCAAGCCGTACACTTGGTATCCCGCTCGCTTCGCCATGCGCGCAAATCCCTCGGTTTCGGCCTGGTTCTCGAAGGCATATGCGGGGAAATTGATTCCTAGGGTTTTCAGTTAGCGGCAGCTCTCCGGGGCAATCATTCCAAAGGCCGTGCACAACATACCTGTACGATGGACGTCGGCCTTGACGAGAATGTTGACACCACCAATTCCATCAAGCTCGACCTCTTCGTCCTTATTATTCCTCCAGTCACCCATTGAAACAAGATATTGGCGGCCCGTGTCATATTCCTTGTAGCCCTCAGCCAGCACGGTGTCCGGATCGAGTGTTTGTCGCAGTCGTCGTCCCTTGTCAGACTCAATCCACGAGTTGTAATCAACTGTAAAGGTTAGCATTGACCATCATCGGCAGGCATTATCTCCACTTACAGCGACCCTCGACATCAACACCGTCCTTATATCTGTGGAACCAGATATCTGCAGAGAGGTCAGCCTTTGCTATAGGACAACCGTAGCAGTCCACTTACTGGGAACGAGAATATCTCTGTCATGGGCCATAAAGTCCTGAAGGATAGTCTCTGGGCTGTCGACAATATCCACATCTCTCCAGTAAACCCAAGAGTGGTCAGGCTTCAGGGCGGAGTAGAGCAGATAGTTGCGTGCCCGGCCAATAGCCTTACGGCGCGGACCCTGGGCGGCGAACGAGTGTCGATCCTCAACGTTCATGTTTACATCGGCCCCAAAGTCCTTCTTAATAATGCTCGCACTGCGGAACGCAACCTTATCACCCTGTACCTGGATCCGGTTCAATTCAGACACGAGTACGCTTTCGGTGTCATCCTTGGAATCGCCGACGAGGAAAGCCAGGTCAATGAGCTCATGAGGATAGGTCAGCTTGTAGAGAAGCTCGAAGTACTTTTGCAAGTATGGGGCAGCATCTCTCAGCGGCGTCAAGATGAGCACTCGTTCGGCGTTTGCGACAGCTTGAGCACTAGAGCCAATGGGGTTGAGGTTGACGTTGAAAATGGTAGAGGAGTTGACTTCGTAAGCTTCATGATGGTTATAGACGACAGGGGTTTGCATATGGGCATTCCATTCGGCTATTTCGTTGAGACTCATGTCCATTGGTGACTTGGAAGGTCCGTAACAGTAGAAACTAGACCGTCGAGTTAGGATGTGCATCATGTGCAGGGGTTGGTTCAAGCCGCGTGTCGCGCCAAAGCCAGGTTGAAAGTGAGTCGAGCACTTACTTTTGCATCTCCGAAGCGGACTTGCTAATACCACGCCACAGCAAGATCAACAAGCCGGTGAGGGCTAATGACACCAGGAAACGAGTCCGCGTCACTAGGACCAGAATGGCCCTCCATGGAGGCAACCTCGCCTTCGCCGACTTCCACGTTACACCACCCTTGGGCAGAAGCATCTTTGCGATCTAAGCAATAGCGAGAAGCGAAGAGGACTTGGGATAGGGATATCGTTCCAAGACGAAAGTTGTCGGTGTCTCCAACCGGATGACGATCCCGGGAAGACGTAGGGTCGCTGGCACCAACGTCCGGAGATCAATGACCCTTTAGCCGATCGCACGACCAATGAAGGTAGAACGGAAGGGAAAAGGAGCGACCGAAAAGAGCACTTGGCGGTGGCGCCGACAAAGTCGAGGGGAGTCACTTGTCGAAGGCAATCCGAAGTTGTTGTCGACTCAGTTGGGACGGGAAATGGAATGCAAAGGAGAGAAAAAAAAAAGAAAAATGAAAAAGAAAAAAGTCGAGGTTTGCGCAGAAGAAGTATGGGGAAGGGGGCAGGAGGAACGAAGATGGTCCGTGAGTGTGGAAAAAGGACAGAAACGTTTGGTTGCGGGAGGGAGCGGCAACAAGATGCCACTCGGCCAGAAAAAAAAAATAAAAATAAAAATAAAAACCGGGGGGAAAGACTAGAGAAACCAAACGAATGGATTTGACGGACGTCAAGACGAGGAGAATAATGATATTATTACAAGACTTGCACAAAGCAAGATGTGAACGGGACCGTGTCGAAGGAGAAGGAAAAGAAGGGGAAAAATCAAAAAACAATAGCTTCTCGAATGCGACGAAAATGGGGGGGTGGGAGATGGAAAAGTCCAGACAAACACGCTTCGGGATTGGCGTTCACGTTACTTTTTATAGATGCATGAGATATTCCACCACCAAATCCCATCCTGCCTCCGTCCATACCGTTCTCCAAGTTCATTTTCTCGGCCCTACGCCATTCATTCCTGGGGACTCTTCCCCACGACACCAATGCATCCGCCTCGAAGTCCCTGGGGCATCCAAACAACCAGATCTCGTTCATTCTCTGTATGATGCCGGCCATGAGCCCTCGCTCGGTATTCCACTTGACGAAAAGGTCTTTGTCTTCTTGGCACACGCGCGGCCAATGGGACCCGTTCAATTCGTCCGCCTTTTGGATCAGGGGGTTCATCTCTACATATTACATGAGAATTTGGCGACACTAAACAAGTCTTGAACGGTGATGATGATAATAATAATAATAATAATAATAATAATACTTTATTCAATCACATTCGCTCTATGTTCGTATTCGCTTTAAAGAGGACATGGATACATACACAAGGAAAACAATGGAAAACAACCGAAATCAACCGTACATATATATATATATATGTATAGATAGACCCTGCAGGAAGAAAAATCCCCCGTCCACTCCGAAATCCCCACAGGAAACCAAAAGACGAAGACAACCAATCCCAATATGGACAAAGGAAAGAAATTATGTATTTCAACATAAGAAAAGGAAATCCGTGCAACTCACAATCCCTGACCCAATTTTTAATGTACACCACACTTGCTCCAGTTCGCCAGGATCCAGTGAAAACAAGAAGACAGTGGCCCAGAGACCCTGGATGAGATCAGCAAGACATCCCGGTGTCAATAATCCGTCCCGATGGAAAATCAAATGGTACAATGCCACGCTATGCGAGAAAACACAATTAAAACAGCAGAATCGACTCCAAATCACAACTCTATGCCCGAGGAGAAGGAAATTCATTACAAGGCCAAGCAGGGGTTCTGTATGTGAGGCAACATGTCCAGCCACCATCTCATGGGGATGGAATCATCGACTGGCGCCGCGACGTGGGAACCGAAAAAGTCGCTTGTGTGAAGACGGGGGACGAAGGCCCGGTCACTGGGGGTGAATGGCTAAGGAAGCTCTGCGAAAAGGACTGGGAAGACCCGGTGTGTGGCGGGTCGAAGCGGGAGACCTCCGTGCCATTCACGGCGATCTCGTCGCAGAAGACCCGTAGGCCAGGCAGCATGTTGCGCGGCCTGGAATCGGAAAGCTGGGTAAGAGGCTGGGGGCTTGGCTGTTCGGTCTTGGGCGATCGGAACATGTGTTCATATGACTTCAGCTGGAGCTCAAGCGCTTGGTTCCGCTCCTCTAAGAGCTGGTTTTCTTGCTTCAAGGACTTGATCTGTTGCTGGGCGGACTGGTTCTGCTGCTGGAGGTTGGCGATCAACTGCTGAAGTTGCATGCACCGGATTTGAGGTTGAAGCTTCTCAGAGAGCTGGCGAGGCATCTCATTTTCCTGGCGAATAAGATGGACAATGATCAGAAGCATGAAATCGATGAGGAAAATGGCACCCTGCACGATGTGCTCCTTCGACTCGGGAAGACTCTTGGATGGATTCCACCCGGCCCGTTCAAGGAAGAAGTCATGAATACGACTGTCGAGCTCACGGTGCAACTGGCTCAAGTTCTTTCGTCGGTTGCCCTCTGCAATGCGGTGCTTCTCCCTCTGGTCGTCACATTCACCCGTGATCATGCTCCCCTTACGCTTTCGGCCACACAGTTGCTGCAGCGGGGGCTTGCGGTTAATATGCTTTGGGGCGATCAAGTTCACAAGGTCGGCCGAAGAAAGATCCTGGGGCCATTCAAACATCTTCTGAGAAGGCAGAGACTCGGGCCATGAGCTATCGGCCGAATTGGCAGGCGAAGGGGGCGTAACAATGTGTTCGGATGCTGGCCACGGCGACTTGACGGGGAACGAGTCCTGGGAGCTGGGAGGGCTAGGAGCAAAGATCTTGGAGGCCAAAGGGTTGAAGGGCCCGCGAGGCAATGGGTCTACGCGAGGCAGGGGTGGTAGCCGACGGTCGTCGGTCATTTCTGTTGCGTTACTAGGAGCATTGGCGATAGAACGGACGCTTCTGGGAGTCCATGTCAATTATGCGTCGTCCAGCAGTGATAGTCATAACTTACGGAAGAGAGCAGCGCCGTGAGATGTCATCCGTCATCGAACTCATATCTTCAAACATGGCAGCTGCGGTTTTGGCTAAAGTTTCGAGATAAGGTGAGGTGCACCGGGAGGATATGTATGTCTTAGTCGAGTGGAGGACCGGGTGAGATGTCGATATGTACGATGCGTCTATATGTGCGAATGTCTGAGATTGACATAAACAAATGTCTCTGGGGAGGATAGATCGACGAGGGTTTCAGGGCGGGAAAGACAGTTGATAATAAATTAGTCTGAGGTCAAAGGCACGAAGTAAGGGCTGGTGATGAAACAATCAAGGGAGACTGTTGCTATGGGAGAGAAATAAGGGATCAGACGAGAGAGTAGTCAGACTGATCCACGAGGTATAGACAAGATGAAGAACAGAATGCTTCCCGAAGGTACGGTGCGATCCGCTGCATGTTTTATATCTTTGCAGTTGGTGAACGAGGAGGGAAATGGATCCAAGTAACCCGAAGTAGTAGGAGAGAGGGGGGCGAGAATGGATTGTGGCGGCGCTCAGGACTCCATGGAGACTGCAGTAATCGATAGAGTGAAGATGGAGATGTATCATGTTGAAGATCTGCGCTCATCTCGATAGGGAAGTGGATTTTGATTAGGGTGTGTGTGGATGTACTTTCCGACAATGACATACAGATCTCTCTCTCGCTTTCTCTTGTTTCGGTCCAAGAGATCGATCAATAGTATTATTTGGGTTTTCTTTTTTACAAATAGTTTTAAAATAATAATAGATCTTGTTATTAATCTGTGATTATTATTATTATTATTATTATTATTATTATTATTATTGTCATTATTGTGACTTTTCTGAAGTAATGTTGATCTCCTAGAATAGAAAACTACAGAATATTTTCCATTTTTCGCTTTCACTGTATTTTCTTTCCCTTCCTTTCCTTTTTTATTTATTTAATTAATGAATTCATCTTTTGGTACAGATACAAAAGATAGAAGAATAAATACGTAAAATATCTATTTTACATAAAATATATAATTCAAAAATAATAATATTTTGTTTCCCCCCCTACCTGCCCGTATTGCATGCCCGGATCCCCGATAGAGGTAGAAAGTTAGGGCATCATGGAGCCTCCTGTCCGTAAGAGACTCCAGTAAACTCCTACTACTTACATGTGTGCATCTGCAGCCCACTTCATCCCTTCCGGTCTCCATGAGGCCGCGGGGAAGTAGCCTCAACATTCCGCAAAGTTCAACAGACCCCATTTAGTGTCCTTTTGGGAGAGACTCGTCCGAATCTCGGTCACAAAATGGGCACAGACGCGAGGCCGAGACGATCGACGAATCAACGTGCTATGATCGCGAGGCACTCATTTTGAATAGAAAGTATTCACAGCCCTTGATTTGTCACCGATGCAATGGTTTGAATTCGATCTACACGGGCCATAGAAGGTAAATGCATCGAATCCCCTTGCTTCGACCTCTTCAATAGTCCATCTGGGCCAATGGCCGTCAGCCATGCGGTTGTATCTCCTCTTAAACTACCTAGGATAGCATCGCATTCCTTTCCTACTCCCTTCCCCCCAAATCTGGAGAACCCGTGAGGATTAAGTAAAAATAGTGCCTATTGTCTGCAGCCATGCGCAGGCATTGTGGCTGTTACGGAACTGGTTCCGGTGCTTGTCCGATAGATGTCGAAGACATAGGTTCGGAGAAATCCATGGTGAGTCCAGTATGCTGGGGCGTGGTCCAAACAGAGAATCAGCTATTCTAGATCATGAGCATCGTTCCCAAGCAGCTCAGATCGGACACCCGCGAGTTGCAGCCACAGCCATGATGAGACAAGGGGAATACTTGTCCTTCTGGGTGGGTTCGATCGCTCGAGCTACGGAGTCCTCCGTTCTCGATTTACAATGTATCGACATACAGTCATCTTGCAGCAGGGTCCCATCTTACTCCCCTGTCTAGTGTGGCACACAGTGAGGGACCTAGAATATTCGAAAGATGGACAAAAATACCAATGGAGCGCCTCGACGAACCATGATAATGAACCGTACATTTACATCCGACGCACAGGCGGACGCAGGTTCCCCGAGGTAAATCTTTCCTCCACAGGAGGTGTTCAGAGCCAGATAGCACGAAGCAAGGACTCTGGGGCAGAGAGAAAATCGTCCACACATCAA